GTAGTTCTAATAAAATATGAGACACAATTAATCGTCCTTGAAAATGTAAAATCGATAAACTTGAATACTAAGTAGCACACAAATAGAAATTTAAGGATTAAAATGACAATACGTTGAACGTTTTAACTCGTAAATGAAAGAACTTCTAAAGTTGGGAGTTTCTCAACAATTTTTGAAAATATTCTTTTTTAAGCTCACAATCAAGAATTTGTAATATATGTAAAAATCTTATATAATAAATAATTTATTAACTGTTTACATAAAATTTTAACTGATTAATGATCAACCAAATAACAAATCTTTCTTTCCTTCAATATATATAACTAGATGCTTGCCTCGGGCAAATGCCCGGGGGAGTCCTCCTACCTAATAAATTGATATGTAAATAATCAAAACTAATTAGGAATGAATTTAATTTTTGATGAGAATAATTGATTGACCAAAAATTAATTTTTTCGAAAGTCTTAAATAAGTGGAGAAGGAAAGTTCCATTTACTGTCAAATTGAAAATTTGTATGAGCATAGACATCTGATCTCTTCGTTCATATTGTAAATATATTTTTTGTTTTTAAAAGTAGGTGACATGTGGCAGAATGGTTTATGCAATATGGTGCATTTGGAGGCAAAACATTTTAATAAGAAATTGCCACATCAGCATTCTGTTTTCTGCTTTAATAGGGTAAAAGGGATTGAAAATTTGTATGAGCATAGCCATCTGATCTCTTCGTTCATATTGTAAATATATTTTTTGTTTTTAAAAGTAGGTGATACGTGGCAGAATGGTTTATGCAATATGGTGCATTTGGAGCCAAAACATTTTAATAAGAAATTGCCACATCAACATCCTGTTTTTTGCTTTAATAAGTGAAAAAGGATGATTTAAAAAACACACACACACACAAAATTTGACATGGCAGGCTGGCCCAGCATGGAAATATCTACGAGCTTGAGAATGGCAGTTGTCAAATGATGGCCTATGTGCCAGCCTTGCCTTTCCTTAAAATCTTAAAGTAAACAAGGTCAACGCAATTTGTCGGGAAATTCTACAGGCAAAAACAAGATTAAATTTTATTTTATTTTTTTAAAAAAACAATGCATCGTTCTGTCAATCAGGTCAACGCCTTTTGTTTAGACCATGTAACAAACTCTTTCTCATCGTACTTATTCCATCCGAAATAATTATTTATTTTAAACTGTATTTATATCATGAATGTAACTGCAAGTTATATGATCATTTCGGGACCGAATGTTGGTATTATATGAATAAATTTTGTCGTTATGTTAGTGCAACTGTGCTAGTATTTTATTAGGACAAATGTTATGAATTTTTTTGTTATTACAAAGGAGACAAAATTGTGTAGGTTGAGGAAGTGGTTTTTGAGGGATGATAAGCTCATAAGGATGTCCTCGTTTTGTGGTCGTACAGACAGACATTTTTAATACTCTCTCGGTCCCAGAACTAATTACTATCATATTTATCACTAATGAAAATTTTGAACAAATTATCTCTTTTAGTTGATAGTATTTATCACCAATATATTCAACTTGAATTTGAATTAGTAATTAAGATAATAGTTTTAGACACTATCGTAATATATTAAGGGAAAATGAAAGGAAGATAATCAAGATTCAAAGTTTTTTTTTTTTTTTTTTGGTCTTCATTCAGTTTCCATGGCCAGATGAACGGTGATGATCGGGACCCAATTTCGTCCTAGGACAATCAAACGATCAGCATTCCATGTTCCTATAATTCTGTAAACATAATCCTATAATTTTAGAAGGGGATCAACGTCGAATCGATTCTCTCCGTATTACTGAAAGATTATTACTCCATACTATAACTGAAGAAGAAGGATTTGCAAATCGATTCGGAAAACGACAGTATTTGCATGTCGTTTTAAAAGTCGGCAGGCCTTCTGTTTGGGAAAAATTGACTAATCTACTCTAAGTTTTCCATGCGTTGTCAATTCTACCATATTCTTTTTCAATTAGTCAATATTACCCTAAACTATCCAACCGTTAGCCAATTTTGTCCAAAATTTCTCTCAAATTTTGTACTCCCTCTGTCCCATAATTATTGTCCAGTTTGAGATTTTATTTTTAGTACAATTTGAACTAGAAATGAAAACTCAAACTGGACAATAATTATGGGACGGAGGGAGTAACTTGTAAGGAAAGCCAAAACACAGTGTTTTCAATCCATAGTTTGAAACTCTTAAATCAATTCAAACAGAAGTAATGATGCTAAAAATAAAATTAAAAAAAAATTAAAAAAAAATGTACAAACTTTGAATCAATTCACTCTGACAGTTCCATTCATCATAAACAAATGTCGAAATCATTATGTTGATTCCAGACTGCTATCTATTCCTCTTTTAACATGTACAGAAAGCATAGGAAGAGAGAAAATATACATCACACATATATATACTGTTGTTGTTCAAATCAAATCCCACAATGCAACTCTCACTTAGGTTCCACTTTCGGATGTTGAAATGCCCCACTGTAGACAAACAGGCTTTCATCACTGTAAGGATGTTTCAACCCCTTGGCTGCTCCTTCATAGCTTTCTGAAGCTGATGCTGATTCGGCGTGAGGGTTTATTCCTGCTAGTTCCATTATGTTTTCAATCTCTTTCACCACCTCGCTCATTGTTGGTCGGCGAATTCCTTCTTCTTGGACACAACTCAATGCCAGGTCCACAAACTTCTCCAAACTCTCAGGTGCTGCATTGGAGACAATGAGAGGGTCTATGATCTCTTGCAGGTTATACAGTGTTTTTGATTTGTCCATCGCTTGTCTCACTTCGCGGACAATGTACTTCCCTTTGTCGATTGGTGGTCTTGCTGTTATGAGCTCAAGCAGTAACACCCCGAAACTATAGACATCACTCTTCTCAGTCAGTTGATTTGTCATGTAATATTCTGGATCCATGTAGCCCTGCATGGAAAATCCCGATTTTCTCAGTTCCAAATACTAGTTGGGAACTAATAACGTATACATGGATAGAATTTTATCATAATAATGCAATAATATGACTAACCATGGTTCCCTTGACTTGAGTAGTCACATGAGTCCTGTCTGGTGAACCCACAGGCTTGGAAAGACCAAAATCGGCAACTTTGGCATTCAGTTTATCATCTAGTAAGACGTTGTTAGATTTTATGTCCCTGTGTATGATTGGAGGATTAGCAAGAACATGCAAATACTGTATTCCCCTCGCGGCTCCTAGGGCTATACGAAGTCTCCTCATCCAATCCAACCTGATTCCAGACTTGCCTGAATGGAAGAATACTCAGAATTCTACGCGAAAGGAACCACATTCTTGTGAGTTCAGCATCAAATCAAAAGGGACAGGATAAGTACCTGAAAGACTGTCCTTTAACGTTCCATTTGGAATATATTCGTATACTAGCATTTCTTCACCCTGATCAAAGCAGAACCCTACCAGACTGACAACATTCTTGTGATGAACCCTGGAGAGAAGCTCAATCTCAGTTTTGAACTCAAGAGCCCCCTGCATAGATCCTTGCTGAGCCCTTTTAACGGCAACCAAGTGTCCGTTGGGAAGAACTCCTCTGTATACCTGCAGAAAACATTTGGAATTCTAAGACAAGTAGCACAACTTCCAAAACATTATTTTGAAATGTTTTGTTTCCACAATCACAGAAACATTCTTGGTGCAGGGACTGAAATAAGATCAAATGGAGCTACCTTGCCGTAACCACCAGATCCTATATCATTAGCTTCTGAGAAATTATTTGTATACTTTTTAATCTCTTCGAATGTGAAATTCCGTGCACCTTTTAGCTGAGGAACTCCACCACTGGTTTTAGTTGAGTCCCATGATGCTGCAGGTATATGAATTAGGGTGGTGAAAAAACTGGCCAAGTATTAACTTATAGAAAATCTAAGTTTACAATTTATGAAACTTACCAAAAGGGTCCATTTGTTTAGCAGCTATTTCTGCTCTTCTTTTCTGGCGGAAAGCATAAAGTCCAGCTATGACTAACAATAAAATAAGGACACAACCACCAGCTGCTGCTCCGGCAATGACACCAGTGCTAGATGATGACTTGTTTGATCCTAAAGGAGCACCTGAGGGGAACAAGTCAATGTTAACCAAACGCAGGAAGGAGAATCTTGGTTATATTAAAGAATCTCAATTCCGCCAAGAAACGCTTACCAGTGAAGTACTGGTATGGATTGGCATTGAAAAAGAAGGGGCCAAACATTTTTGGTGGTTTGAAAGTTTGGTTGCTAAGCACAAAACCAATTCCAGTAATCGCTCCCCGGCTGAAATAATCTTGAGCAGACGGAAAGACTTGAAGATTTAAAGTGAGATAATTGTCTAAATTTTTCGATGGATCACTGACTCTAACTGAGTCCACCTGTTGCTGGTTGGACTTAAAAGTGAGCAACAACATCTGTTCCAGAGATGCGTATGTGGTTTTGTTCCCCAAGTCAGAAAAGGAAGGAGCTCGGAAAAATAAGGTGCCTGTGTATGGATATGCGCATTGGCAGTTGGGGCTAGCTATTTGATCAGACCTGCACTGAGGTGCCAAACAATTATTACTAGGAGTTGAATACGAGGAATTGGCCTTTTCAGGAAGGATGCAGTAGATTAATGTTGCATCTTGACAAAATGGGTTATCAACAAGTCTGCAAGGAATCATAAATTTGTCAAGAGAGACTCGGAGATAAACAAACTCAAGAACAAGTAAGGTCAGGTACTACATTTATATCAAAATTTCAATGCAATACAAGGGGAAAAGTGCAGCTTACATGATTTCAATACCATAGCCACCAGATTTTTCGGTAAAATACTCAATGGAGTTGTTCTGCAGATCAATCAGTTGGACATTATAGCCAGGGCCAATGGTTAAAGTCCCATTGAGTCGGTTGTTCTTTAGTATTCTGTCAAAACAATTTACTTTTGGTAATCTTTGACTATATATTACAGGTATATATGAAAAATAGTTTTTGCATATAAAACTCACACAGATTGCAGCTGCGGAAGGCTGAAAAGTGCACCTGGAATTTGTCCCTGAAGATTTGTGTTTTCCATCACTCTGCAGTAGAAACCAAAGTAGATAAAAAAGAGAAAAAAAAAAAAAAACCCAGAAACTCTAGGCTTTACACCATTATAAAGACCACAAACATTCATAAATCGGCAAACAAGTTAACAAAGTACTGAGGGGGAGAAACGTACAGAGTTGTAAGAGATTGCAAGGTCGAAGACCAAGTAGGAAAACCTGAGGCATTAAATGTATTGTTGCTTATGTCCCTGTAAGAAAAACAAAAAAAGGACAAGAAGGAAATTGTTAAAGCATTGTCTTTCATGAAGGGACAAAACATTTATGGATGGGATTTAATTAAATTTTGCTAACTTACAGGTAATTGAGCAAAGCCATGCCAGTGAGATCAGGCAGCGGTCCTGCCAGATCATTGTTTGATAAATACCTACGAAATAAGAAGTTTCATCAGAATGGAAGAGAATGTGTAAAGAATAATTTTCCAGGACAAGGAAGAAAAAACTCTAATAAGTCATTCCATCATGCTACTTACAGCTCCTGAAGTTTTTGGAGGTTGCTGAGGTTTCTTGGGACTTGTCCACTTAATGAGTTCTTGTCAAGGCGTCTGTTTGAAACGACGAATGCAAAGCTCAAAATGCAAAACGAGAATCTACAGACGGGATAAAAGAAAAGTGAGAATGAGATTTTAATACTTACACCACTTCAAGAGCTTGTACAAGTGCAAGGCTGTCAGGGATACTTCCAGTTAGCTGGTTGCTATCCAGTAACCTGCTCAAAGTAACAACGTGCAGCAAGAAAATATTTAATTTGGTAAGGTTGTTTTCACCTTTCTGGATGGAAAACTTCAATATTCATCACCCACTCTCACGATAAGTTTTAGCAAGAAAAGCAAAAATAGGTCTTTGCATAGGGTTTATAATAGCAGATAACAATATCTAAGAAGTGCAACAATTCAACTGACTTGCTGATTGACTGCTTAAATTAAACCGTCATTTGGCCTATTACATTGTATCAGGTTTCATCCAAGCTTGAATAACCTATTGAAGTACTGTGGCAAAAGGACATCATACCAAGGAAAGAAAAAGAAAAGATTAAAGCTTATATTAATGAGGGCTTACAAATGAATCAGTGACATATTTGCACTGAAGAGTTGTGAGGGTATGTTTCCGGACAGTTGATTCTTGCCAAAATGACTGCAATGTTGAGAAAATATTCAGATTAGATAATCCTGAACTGAACACAAGCAGACATAATTTTATAGAGACAGCCAATATAGTTTAGGACACAGATGCATACAAGTGTTTTGTACTGAGAAGCTGATCAAGACCAGGTGAAGTTGCATTTGAGACCGGGATGCTACCAGAAAGTCTGTTGTCAGCTAAATCCAGCCAATGAAGATTTTGCAGTTTACCAAACGAAGCTGGTATTGGTCCAATAAATTTGTTGGAGTTTAGGGATCTGCATCATACAAAAGAAAGCTATAAAGAGTGCGCACGAAAGACAAAATTTTCTCCAGGACTAGCAGAACTGCAGCATCGAACCAGTGACCCAATTTCTTTTCATCAGCACCTCTACTATCATTTTTGAATGCAGATAGAGATTTTTTTTTTTTCCCACATTTTTTAGTCAAGAAGATAGAGAATTTATATTGAAGATGTTTTTATACTTGAGATGTAAAGGTAAACAGGAAGCCACAGCTGTCAATGGCGCAAAACAAATGAGTTTCTGCATTTTGCATGCCTAGAACTAGCATACTGGCTGACAGCAAAATGCCATGTAGTGAATTAAAGAGAGCTCTACTTGTTGATCTTTTAGAGAAATCGATCCATTTATCAAGTCCTTTCATATTTTCTTAACCATGAATGTTAGTGAAGCTAATATATCACCACACAAGGTCCTTACAGAGTTTGTAGCTGCTTGAGATTTCCAATGGTATCTGGTATTGGGCTGTTGAAATTACAACCGATGAGAGCTCTGCCATCAGACATGCGCAAAAACAGATGTTAGAATAAAAAGTTTTCACCTTTCAGGTGAATGGTTTTAACTGGAAAAAATTTGTGAGTTCCATACAAGCTAGTAAGTTTTGCCAAGTTTCCAATCCCATCAGGAAGAGCTCCCGTCAGTTCTGGATTGTATGACAAATCCCTAATGACCAAACAGTAGAAATCCAGACTTAGCGATAAATATTGATGGCAGGAATGTATAAAAATGAAAGAGACACAGATGCAGAATATAAGAGATACTAAAACTATAGATAATGGAACCTACAAAGTCAGCAATTCAGATAAACCAGCAATGTCTGATGAGAGGGTTCCAGCCAAGCCCAAGCTTGCTAACGTTCTGCGAACATAAATCAGCATATTCTCAAATGTGACATAAAGACCAACAACCCTACAGAATTGAAGGAGCAAAATGATGAAAAATTACATGGCGACAATGCGATCATTGCTGCAGCTAATTCCGTCCCATTTGGCTCCACATGGATCTGAGCCAGACCAATTTGGTGGTGTGTTTTGCCACAAACTTTGAAGAGATCGTATGGCAGTCACTGCACCATAAATTCAATTTTAATTCTAGTCTTTGGAAAACCTCAAGTCCAAACATGAACTTTGCAAGACGATTACAATCAAATAGGAAACCACATATTAGAAATTTTAGGCAACAGAAAAACTCATATGGAGGAATGAACTGAAATACATATTTGTTTTGCTTGATTAGAATTTTTTTTCAGTTGCATAAAGCAATAGCAATGTATAAGAATGCGTGCAAACAATCTGTGCCATTTTCAATTAGTATTTATTTGAGTTCTTGATAAAAAAAAAAAAAGAAAAAAAAAAGGAACAAGTGCACAATTGATCATTACACCACTAACTACGGCCAAAAAATCTAAAGAAAGAAAGAAGGTACAGACTTATATTTTGCTCAAATTCAATGACAAAAAGTGTTCTGGAAAGCCAGAAACTTGGGTAGAAACTGCAACAATTTAGTCAATAAATGACCACCAAATAATGGAGCAAATGATCGATCATTCAGGAGGAAACGAAAAAGAAAAATATTCTACAGAAGAACATCCCTGTAAAGTTGGTTTTGCATCAAACACGTAAACAAACTTACAGTCATCTGGATTTGTCAAAGCTGCTATAACCAAGGCCTGGAGTAAAATAATCAGCAGAAAAAGCTGAGTCCTTTGAGTTCTCATCGTTGAAGAGAGCCTCTTTCCAAAATGCTAGTACAAGATCTTAAAGGGTGCAACGCTGGCTGAATTCTCCAACAACATGAATATAGCTCATTAATGGGTTAAACGACAAGTTCGGTTGACTTGAATTTCCTGTTGAGTCTTTAAGAGCTGAACACAATGACCCTCGGCTTCTCCTAAAATATCAAACCAAACTTTAGGTACATCTATCACGTTTTACTTACAATGATTGTAACCCACAAACAATTTCTAGTTTTCACTCACTCCTGAATGCAAATGGCCTTCAAAAGCCCCAATCTTTACAACAAAAGAAACTGTGAAAACAGGGTTTCTTCTACTTTCTTACCCCCATGCAGGGGCAATTTAAGTGTAGGGACTAATTGAAGTTGAAACTTGAAAGACCATAATTTAGTGAAGGTTAATAAATGATTGGTTCTTTCACTGCCAATATCCAGCCAATGAAGTGTGACAGCAAGTGCAAGTTGACAAGAACACTATCAAAATGGGTAAAGTCATTAGGTGAAGAAAGAGACATTTTTTTTCCCATTGGGTTAAATCTTTATTTGGTGTAGAAACATTCAAATTAAGATAAACAATTAGAAAGAAACCATTTTTATATCCAAAGATCAAATCTAAAACACGACTGATCTGAGGTTTTCAAAGGATTGAACTTTGAACACGCTACAATCCCACGTAGTTGTTGCCTCCACTTTAGTATATCTGAAAAATGAATGTTTCAAATGTTCCCATTTAGAAACCTCAAACTGAATCCATCCAAGTCCAAAGTCCAACAGGAATTCATAATCTTGGGAGTTGATTCATTAAACCCTTTTCATTAGTTTTTAATTAAACCCTTTTCAATCCCATCAATAAATATCGTATGGCAGATCAACTGGACATGGCAACTGGGCTGTATGATATTATTATTAGATAAGTAAGTTCATTAATGGCTTCAACTGCCCTTTCAATTTCTCCATTAAATCAACTGGGAAATGGACCACTAGGATAGATTAGCATTTAGAGAAGAGTTGGGTTCACCAGGGTTTGAGCGCATATGCTGCTCCAATGATTATCCACAATTACAGACATTGAAAAATGTCATGGTTGGCAAATGGCATGTGTTCTCCGCCATCTTCCCTAAATTAAATCCTTAAAGTAAACGGAGTCAACGCATTTTGGCTGAATTGCTACAGCCAAAAATGCACAAATTAGACAATCTGTCAAGGGTCAACGCCTTTAGTTTATGCCAAGTTTTGAGACAAAGCTCAGATCTTTTGGAATTTTTGGTAATTTATACGTGAAATGAGACTCGGGTTTGTCTCTCATGTTTTGAAGGAACTGTGACCAAATCTGGTCAAATTTGTGTTTTTTATTACAAATTTACAGTTAAATTTGATACAAAATGATACAAAAGGAGAGGGAGATTAAAAATTATAAAAATAAGAATAAAAATCAAATCATGATACAAAATTAAAATATGAATGACAAACATGGAAGGTATGGTAAACCATGTACATGGAAATTGTGAATTCAAGAAGACTAATCAACCTCTAGCTTCTCAATCTACCAAAAGGAGGGGAGAAAAAAAAAAAAACTCAAATTTTCAAGGAAGTGATTTTGTGCAGCCTTCTCCTGTACAGCATCCTCATTTTGCATGATGATGTATCCAACTCCAAGTATGGACAGCCAAACTATGTTTTCCAAAACTATAGTTTGAATCGAATCAACAGCACTAATGCCGCTAAAACTCTCTCCACAAATCCAAAACAACTGGCAAAATGTGAAATCTTTTTACCTAAAAATCATCTGAACACTACTAACTGTTTCTGGAATGTTGCTCTATGTTGAAATGTAAGGGATTACCGCTGTAATCGAAATCTTTGCTACCATAAGAGTTATGATGACCCAAATCCATGGAACCTTTGGAACTAAATGAAGTGACATCTGCTTCAGAAGTTTTTTTACTCAAACTAGCCAACTGAATGATGTTCTCAATCTCTCTGACTACTTCATTCATTGTTGGCCTATTGGATCCGAATTCCTGGACACATCTCATTGCTAGCTCAAGAAACTTCTCCAATCCCCCTGGTTTCCCTTCTGCAGCAAGTTTTGGATCTACAAAATCGGAATAGGAAGTCGTGTCTTTACCATAATTCGTTGCTACTTGTACTTCTTTAGCTATGTGCTTTCCTCGTTCTATTGGCGCTCGTGCGGTCATGAGTTCAAGAAGTACAATTCCAAAGCTATAGACATCACTCTTCTCAGTTAGCTGTTGTGTCATGTAATATTCTGGATCCATATATCCCTATATCACATAAACGAGAATTAGTGCTAATGGTGAAAACAGGAACACATTAAGGAAAGTAATCTTTACAACTTAGATCCCTGAGTTGAAATTTCAATTTGTTATTGATACATACCAATGTCCCTTTTACTTGAGTGGAAATGTAGCCCTTATCTTCATCCCCTACCGGCTTTGAGAGCCCAAAATCAGCTACTTTCGCATTGAAGTGATCATCCAGTAAAATGTTGTTTGATTTGACGTCTCTGTGTATGATAGGAGGATTAGCGAGCTCGTGCAGGTAAGTCAAGCCTCGTGCAGCATCAAGGGCGATCGCTAGTCTCCTCATCCAGTTTAAACAAGTGCCGGATTTTCCTGCATTAACATGTCATTGTTAAAACATATGAATTCTGAAGTTTCTATCAGACTATATCACAGTTAGTACCTGAGAGATTTTCTCGTAGAGTACCATTTGAAATGTACTCATAGACCAGCATTTGCTCTCCTTGATCATAACAGAACCCCACAAGACCAACAACATTTTTATGATGAATTCTTGATAGAAGCTCAATCTCCGTTTTGAATTCAACAGCACCTTGCATTGAACCTTGTTGAGCTCGTTTGATTGCCACTACTTGTCCAGATGCAAGTGTTCCTTTATAAACCTGCCAATCACGTCAAAATCAGAATTCCGAATCAATCATTTGTCCTGAGGCACGAAAACAAAAGGTTTTTTCTCCATTTCAACATTCACATTTTTGCTGGCAATGATCTGGTGAACAACTAACCTTTCCATAGCCCCCAACTCCAATACAGTTAGAATCTGAGAAACTGTCAGTACATTTTTTGAGCTCATCAAACGAAAGCCATCTGGCTCCCTTAAGCTGTGGCGCGTCGCCATTTCCATCTTCGAGTTGCCAACATGCTGTTCACAAGTAAGGCATCAGAAACAAGTACGATGAAAGTTCTTAGTGTATAGCACAATACTGAGAATGCTCTTCTTCTCAAATAGAAGATGGCGCTTACCAAAAGGTTTACTTATCATTTCTTCTCTTCTTTTACTTCTCCTCCAAACAAATAATAAACCACCCAATATTAGAAGGAAAACCGCGACTGCACCTACTGTTGCACCAACAATGACACCAGTATGCGATGATTTTTTCTCCCCTGAAGACGGATACAAGGAAGATTCATCATTAGCATTTTGCAATTTTAGAGCATACAGAAATGCAACCAAAATAATCAAAACTTTTCACTCTTTTGCTTTCAAGATGGAAACCTACCTGCAAAATGTTCGTACTTGTCATCAAGAAAGTAAAATGGTCCAAAGTAGTCGAGTGTGAAAGGTTGTCGATTGAGCAAAAAGCCAATGGTAGAAACAGATGTTCGGTTGAAATTTTCTTGGAGGGAGGGGAAGATTTGTATTCTGAATTGGAGGTATGAGTAAACATCGATTGATGGATCACTAATGTTAATGGAATCCACAGGAAGTCCATCGGATCGCAAAACAGATATTAGGGTACCTTGAAGGCTTCTGTAGTAAGTAAAGTTGCTTAAATCTGAGAATGTATGAGAAAAGAAGTGTATAGTTCCTGTGTATGGATATGCACATCTGCAGTTAGGACTCAAAATTTGACCCGAACTACAGGAGATGGAGGAACAATTATTCAATGGTGCAAGGAAATTGTTATTAGTTTCTACCACACAGAATTTCTGTGGTGATCCATTTCCCCCACAAATTGGATTGCCAACAAGACTGCCGAAAGCCAAAAGAAATTTGCAGTTAAGCGCTTAACTTTAGCAACTAAGATCCAGATGAAGGTTTATAAACCAAATGCATTTGACAATATGAATTGACTTACTCTAACTCAATACTATATCCTGATTTTTGCCGGAAGTCAGTGATGAAATTGTTCCGCAGATCAAGTTCCAAGCTGCTGCTATAGCTGTTCCCAATGCTCAACGTGCCATTCAAGAGGTTGTTGCTCAATGTCCTGTGATTAAATGCCAAAGTGTTTCAAACATGTTAATCATCTCTGCAAAACTAAAATGAATGTATCTCTATGTTTCTTGAAGCCCTGGAAAAAGTTTTACTGTTTTAATTTTATTTGTACAAACTTGAAGCTACACAAAAGGCATAAAGGCTGAATTATCAGGTACTCACACTGTCTGCAACTGGGGAAGGCTGAAGAAATTAACAGGAATTTCTCCTTGGAGTTTTGTGTTCTCCATCGTTCTGCAGTTAAATGCCAACTACATATTAGTACAAGTTTGATGGAGACAAGACACTCACACAAATATGTACAGAAAGATAAGGAGAAGAAAACAGACAATGTTGTCAAGGATTGGATGCTCGAAAGCGAGGATGGGAAAGGAGATGGATCGAAACTGTTGTTGCTCATGTCCCTGAAAATTACCAAACATATAAGGTCTTGTTATAACATGAGGTTATGTACCAAAGGACTAATCATGGTAAAATCAGGAGATGATTTGGAATGAATTGCAGCAAAACAGATTAAATGTGTCTCATAATTCGATCTGTTTAATAGAAACTCTGGAGACTTAAAATTACAAAATATATAAACTTACAAAAAATTGAGTCCATTCATGCCTGTAAAGTCGGGTACCGGTCCCCTCAGGTTGTTGTTAGCCATGTTCCTGTCGAAAGAGATGGACCAAAAACCTATATGTTATAAAAGGAAGAAATTTCAGTGCTCAAAATTGCACAAAGGATAGAAATCTCTCCATATCCTTCTCACTTCTTTTCCACTTACAGCTCACTGATTTTTGTAAGGTTATTCAAAGGTAATGGTACTGATCCATTAAGAGAGTTGAAGTCCAGACGTCTGTTTTCAGAACAAAATAATTGGTGTAAGTTCAAGTCTTACTTTGAAAAAGCAACGGAAAATGAATGTTTCCTTAGTAACCAGAGATACTCACATAACTTCCAAAGTATTCACAGAAAACAGTGAATCAGGTATGCTTCCGGTAAGCTGATTGTTGTCCAAAATCCTAATTTAAGAGACAATGGAGTCAATAGAGATCAAGGAAAAACTAAAACTTCCTGCTCTTTCATCTGATTTGCCCAACAACTAAAAAACTTGATCATTGAACTTTTGGATAGTAGGCTTTAATAATAACTTCGCAAAATTGGTTTATGACAAACTTACGCATGTATCAGTTTCATGTTTTGACTGAATAGCTGGGGCGGTATTGCGCCAGAGAGCTGATTTTTTGACAAATGGCTGTTGAGAATGGACAAAAATGCAAACATCCTTAGAAATATGTTGAAAAAAACTAAAGCTAAAGGTTGTCTTATTTTATAGAAAAGAAAACTTACAAGTGTCTGGCATTGAAGAGCTTGTCTAAACCAGGTGTGGTTCCACTCGAGACTGGAATGGTTCCATTGAGTTTGTTGTCACTCAGGTCTAGCCATGAAAGGTTCGCAAGATTTCCAATAGAAGCTGGAATCGGTCCAGTGAACCCATTCGAATTTAAGGATCTGCAAAAATGGAGGAACAGCATTTTTTAGGACATCAGTCTCAACTATAATGGTATGACAAAAAAATTTAGCTAAGATTTCATTAGGATTGGAACACCATTGTGCTATGTGGTTCCATAACAATAGTTCGAATAACTAGAAAAGTATGAACAAGAAGTCATTCCACATGCTAGATTACTTACATGTATATTAGATTCGGCAGAGATCCTATTGAGTCAGGTATAGGACCAAAAAAGCTGCATCCAACCAAAACTCTGCATGGAACAAAAGTTATCACCTGAGCATTAATAATTTGCAGCTGGAACAGCAAATTGCAAAAATATTCTACAACTATTTCAAATAAGAAGGAATTCTTACAATATGGTTAGGTTCTGCAAATTGCTGATCGAGGGTGGAAGAGTTGCTCTTAGACCAACATTGTTGGAAAGATCCCTGCAGACGGAGGCAACAAAGATGAGAGCTACAGATTAAATGTTTAGAATGGGACATGATCTTGGTTGAATAAATAATTAAGTTTCATGCGCATGATATGACTGAAACAAACGAAAGACTAGAAATCATCAGAAACATACAGATATTGTAAGTGAGTTAACCCGGTAACATCTGAAATGCTGTTACCAGATATACCTTGGCCAGCTAACATCCTGTAATGGAAGCATTTGTTTAATCAGCAAACACAAATGCTGGAAAAGTACTGACTACAGAGGAACTAAAAAAAAAAATTGAAAAAACTTCTGTGTAGAAGCAACTTACAAAGAAGTTACTTGTGTACCATTACAAACAATTCCTTCCCAGTTGCTGCCGCAAGGATCAGAACCCTTCCAACTTGGTGGCAAATTGCTCCAGCTAGATTGAATTGCCTGTAAAGCCGAGCCTGCATTTCCATGTAAATGTTGAGCCAATAGATAAAATGTAACTCTTTTGGCAAGCCAATAATTAAGGAGATTGTTTGACCACATTGAACAAAACAGCAGAATACTATCCTCCATTAGAGCAATTCTTGTTCATAGGATTTAGACAACGACAATGAGAAGGGAGCCCGAAAACTCAATAAATGCACCCGAGAACAGGCGGTTTTAAGATGAAAGAAATTGGTGAAAGCATTAATATGAAACATGCTACTAAATCTCCATTACAGTATCCATTCAAAATGCAGTCATTATGAAAGAAAAATCCCTACGTTAGATCATATTGTAACTATAGATATTAATTCTTTATCAGAGAAGTTTCTCATACAAAACCAGAACATAGAAGCAAGTCTTCTAATCCCTATGTCCTATGAAATAGTCAACCAGGTATATGCTAATACACAGGGCAAAGAAAACAAGACATTATGATGACCGGAAAGCGTAAAGATTTCGACAATTCTATTGGAGAAAAAGGCCCCTGAACAAAGAGATACTTACGATCACCACTATCTGTATCTGCAAGAATTTCCAAAATTTGTATGCTGAAGATCAGAAAGATCACCAAAGCTCTTGCACCCATCTCACAAAATCACATCAAAACTTGTTTGTACTTAACTGAAATCGAAGAAGAAACAAGAACCCAAGTCCTGAAACTAACAAAGAAACTTTCCTAATCACATTCCAAAACCTACAGAAACATAGGGAACCGAAAGATGTTTGTGAAAGCTGTCCATGTAGTTTATTGCAAAGTTATCTTGAAACAGTCCAATAACTCTGTCCCCCTGTCATCAATACTTTAAAAAAAAAAAAAAAGGATCTCTTTTCCCCCTTAAATATAACTATTAATGCATAAAAAAAACTCCAGTAGGCACCTAAGAAAAATAGATACTATAATGTCAATGGAGTTCAACAACCTCAATTTACGCGGTCAAAACACTGTGATCATCTTGACCTTGTATCATTCATCTGTATCTTAGTATATTCTGTGTTATCTTATTTCGATTAAATTAATGAATAGATGAATTCTTATTTGTCTCAAGTGGCTTGGTTGGGGGTGTTTATTTCGAGCAACTTTCATCTGTCCTGTTCTCATCAGTTGAGATGATGAAAAAATATTAAACAAAACCCTTTTAAAACCCGTCAAATATCTTTTGGACCATTCTATAATGGTATCTTGGCGTTCTGGAGTTCATATTTCCATGGAATTATATCATATGGTATACACAAGACAAAATGCAGATTCCTGAGAAGATGAAGAAATAGGGATCAACAGAGAAATGGATGACGGGTATATTTTTACCTTGGTGTTCTTTTGTAACGTTTATCATTATTAATGAGTTGAACAATAATATCTTTTGCAATGTTGAGAACGAGATCGTATCTCAATTCTGTAATCATTTCAGTCTATTTCGTTAAACTAAAATAGTTTGGATATGTTGATTTAGTATTAAAATTCGAGTTGATTAATTTTTTTGGGACGATTAAAGTATTATGAGCCTTACGCAATGCCTCGACCAGATCCTGGTACAAAAATATACAGGATAATTTTTTTTCAACTGAATACAGCTCTGCCAAAATAAATGGTCCTCCATCATGTGTTTTCCCAAGTTGGTTTCCCCTTCACATTTGCACTTTATTAGGTCGGAAAGTTTCAATTCTCAAGCTTGGCATTTTTTAATTATAGGACAAGTTCAATCCACCTGCTTTTACATTATCCAAATGACAAATGATATTTTAGGTTTAGATATGTTTTCTGTCATTGTCCAGCCAGTGCATAACTTCGTATGGCGTTGAACATTCAAATTATTTTGGATACAATCTGAATTGCGGGAGGCAACATCCAATCTTCAGAACATGTCAAAAATCGAGAAAACAAGTAATTTTTTTCGTCCCAAAATTATTATCCAATTTTTATTTTTATTTTTAGTTCAATTTGTATAAAAAAAATGAAAATCCAAACTGTACAATAATTTTGACGGAAGCATATGAATTCATGGCGCCGTCACATTTCAGAGTGGCAGCTACGTCTTTTTTCCATATGAAATGGAATTATTGGAGATCGAATGAAAATTAACTTAATTATATTATGTATCTGTTTGAACACTCACAATTTTCGTATAAAATAAAATGAGAGGAATTCAACTTTGCACGCCCGGTGCATCTTGAACAAAATAATAAATTACATTTTACTTTCATACATTGTTGAATGTAACTGTATGTGATCTAGAGTCATTTTAAAAGATACTGTTGCAAGTAAAATATCAGCCATGATGGGTGTAATTATGAGAATATTGCATCCATGAAGAAGTGTGAATAATTTCGGCATCCTGCTTGGTGGTTCTTCCTTGCATCAGTTTACTCTTAGTGTCGACAACAGATTTTATGCGACGCTTTTATGTTATACTATCAATAATACAATTTAAATAACTGACACATGTTTATTTACTTACTCGAAAGATTTTTTTTCTTTTTCATCCAATTAAGGTTTCAAAGTTGATGACATGTATTGATCGTTTAAACAGCATAACACCTAAGTGTGACAAAGAAGACCATGAGCCATATCTCTCCTTGTTAACCATCAAAATTTATTATACTTTTTTACATGAAAGGAAAATTGCATTGGTGCTTCTCCTAAAAAAATTTCATAAAATAAATGTGGACAAAAATAGATTTTTTTATTATACAGAAGAAGAACCTCTTCAAGTGGGTTAGGTGGACAAAAGTAATTCAGCCTGATTTATTAAATACGAAAGCCTACTCATTTTTTAGTAGATTCAAATTTGTCAAATTTAAATCTATTCATCGTATGAGAGTTCTGTTTTTCAAAAAAATACAAAATTCGGATTTACTAAATCCGACTGCTTGATTTCGAATTTGTCACATCTGACATGACTAGATTTGTCCACACCCTCAAGAGAAATGTATTTTTGTCCAAAGTCATTGAAAACATATTTTGGTAAAAAACATTAACTGTTTGGGAAGTTTTTTTGATGGTTTTTTCAAAATAATTAAATAATAACTGTCCCATCCCAATATATCATTTTATATTTTCAATGCACCTTTTTACATTCCCAACACAAAATACACTTAAAAACACACACTGGAAAAACGATCCAAACATAGCCTAAATTTTGCATTACCATAAATATTTTTACAATTAAAATAAAAGAGAAGATAACAAACATTCAGGGAGCTGAATGCAATTGACCCAAATTTTTTTTGAGAGGGGGAGACGTGGATATCGGTGTCACTTTTTAGTTAAAACAGAACGTTAGCAACGGCGGAAAACCAGCGGAAAAAAAATGTTGCTGTTGGAGCTGCTGCTGGGGGAGGCTGCGGCCGGATTCAGCTTGGAAAAAGCTGTTTGTAGCCATGGGTTATTCATGATGTCACCTAACTTTTGGGATTCTCAATCCAAGAGTCTTCAGCGCCCTCTTCGTCTTAGCCACAATCACGACGACCCAGATCATCAAATTTCCGTCTCCGTCAGAATCTCGCAGCCCTCTAACTCTGCTCATTCTCTCCAAGTTGAAGTCTTTGGGATTAATTCACTTTCTTCTCAACAAAAGCAGTCTTTGCTGGTGAGTTGGAAAGTGGACGATAAATAAAGGAAATGCTGGTTTTGGCTCTCTTGTTGTCTACTTGAGTAAATAAATACTGGTCATTGTTTGGAAAGTTAGCTGCATTATTTTCTTTGGGAAAAAATGAAGTCTTTAGATACTTCTCTATTGAGTTGCTATTCTTGCTATTTGCTTTTCTTTCTTTTTTTTTTTAATTTAAGCAGTATGATTTCGATTGTTGAATAAGCTTTCTTTCTTTGTTTTTGCCTAGAATCAAGTGAGTCGAATGATGCGATTATCTGACGAAGAGAACAAGACTGTGCGGGAATTCCAGGAGATCCATAGGGTAGCCAAAGAGAGAGGGCATGGGAGGATTTTCAGATCTCCAACGTTGTTTGAGGACATGATCAAATGCATTCTCCTGTGCAACTGCCAGTAAGTTATTATTTTTCCTAGTTCTCTTTGCTTTAGGTTTAAGCTGTCATGATGCAATTGAGCGATGGCTTTGGTGTAAGGATCATTATGCTTTTCTTCTGAAATCTTTCATGAATTATTAGTGATTTACCCATTGGAGATGATGAGATTCATTGCGTCACACTGCAATAGTCAATCAAACCGTTAATATGCTGTTCGGAACATAGATAATGGTTAACATCTTAAATTGGTTATTCTAGATACTGGAGGGCTAGCGTAATCTTTCTCTATCACAGTAATACTATGAACAAGGATTATTTTCTCTGTTTGTGGCCTGGTAACATGGACCAGCTTCCAGATATTAGAGTGCTAGCTTAACCTTTCTCTATGCACTCTAATTATGAGAGAGGATTATTTTCTCTGTTTTTTGCCTGGTATGAAACTGCTTCTAGTTCTGATGTTACCTGGAAGCCTAAGTTTCTTGTAGTCTGTTGCAACTTAGTAAATGCTTGCTACAAAAATGAAATGTTTTTCGAACATGATCCCTATATAGGTGGTCTAGGACTCTGAGCATGGCCCGAGCCCTGTGTGAATTCCAGTGGGAACTGCAACATTCCTTGTCAAATGCATCTCCTACAAAAATCTATGGCAGTTCAAACGCCATAAGTGAAGCTGATGATAGCAGGTATTTTGTTCCAAATACACCAGCTATAAAAGAAAAGAAGAGAACGCTTGGAAATCAAGAGTGTCATGTTGACAATAGATCGGATTACTCTCAAGAGAGTGATGATTTTGAGGCATGTGCTTTTTATTTGATAGCCATCCCCATTTCAGGCTTCATTTGAAGAGAGACTAATGTTAGGTTGCATGCTTCTACGCTTTCCAGTGCTCAAACGGGACTGAACCTCATAACCAACCTGGCGTGGGAAACTTTCCAAGCCCTAAGGAATTAGCAATTGCTAATGTATCTCTTTTGGCAAAACGTTGCAATCTAGGTTATAGAGCAAGTCGCATAGTGAAACTTGCACAGCTTGTTGAAGAAGGTGGTATTCAGCTCAGAGAACTTGAAGATGCTTGCAGTAACCCGACCCTGTTTAACTATGATAAATTAGCTGAACAGTTAAAAGAAATAGATGGATTTGGTCCTTTTACATGTGCTAATGTGCTAATGTGCATGGGCTTTTACCATGTCATTCCCTCAGACTCTGAGACGATAAGGCATCTGAAGCAGGTACTTCTTCTTCTTATCAATCATGCTCAAGTTTTCCTATCGAATCCCTCTAAGCTGATTTATTGCAAGTATGAGAGTTCATTTTACATGTAACTGCAGGTACATGCTAGACACACTAGTCTTAAAACAATACGTGCGGATCTGGACATAATTTATGGGCCGTATGCGCCTTTTCAGTTTTTGGCGTATTGGTATGTAAATACTGTGCAATTTATTTGTCTGAGACATTTTTAAGAGAACCTTAACGTTTTGAAATCTCAGGATAAGTACTGGTGGTGCAGGTCAGAAGTATGGCACTTCTATGAGGAATGGTTTGGGAAGTTGAGTGAAATGGTTCCTACAAGCTATAAGCTTATTACTGCAGCAAACATGAAGCCCAAAAAGAAAGCTCAGAGCTTGAAAACTAAAGCATCCAGGCCCGCGGAGCTTCTTAATTCCACGTAAGGATAATGTGTGGCTTTAGTTTTTTGTGCCTCTTGACAACATGTTAACTTAATCCCGTCCATGTATGGTTTCCACTGTTCATATCTCTTAACTGAGGTAGGCAGGAGGGACTTGATCGGAAAAATGTGGGATTTTATTTAAGACAGAGCTAACGAAAATACACTGGAAGTGGTATCTTGTTAAAAGATATTCTATTTATGTATCATGGATGATCTGGCTGCCGGTTGTGATATTATAATTCAATGCATTTGCTTCATTAGTTGGTTGCTGTGTAGGCTGTTTTGTTTTTCGTCCTCTCTGAATGTGATGTTGTTCTCCTGTGATATAGTAGTGCCTTATCTAAATGGATGCCTTAGCTATGGTGTCTGTCTTGATCTCAGTGTTGCTTGTCAGCTGACACGGTTCTGTCAAGTGAATCGTTCAAAAAATAATGGAAAAATATCCCGTCCCAAAAAAATAGTTCACATTATTGTGACAGAGGTAGCAAAAGGGTGGTAATTTTTTGTGACAGATTGCTAAATCCTTCCCGTGATTGTAAAAAGATGTCAGACAATTTGCAGAATGTTTAAGCCTTCAAAGACTTGAAAAGTTGAAATTAGTGGTTTAAAGGTAGAGCCTACTGGTCAACCAATTACAAGAAACAGAAAGAAAAAGACCCAAAATACTACTCCTCAATTTCAAACCCAAAGATTGAATTTTCAATTGACTCAACAACTTACCAGGAAATTGATTGAGGATAGTCGTATGTAATTGAAGAAAGGCCTTGAAGGATAACTTCATACATAAGAGTTCAAAATAGTCAGAAATACCGCTTGCGCCGCCCGTCGAGAATTCATCTCCTTCCCCCTCGAAGCTTGATTTTTTTTTTTTAATTATTATTGTTATTACTATTGTTTTTTTGGAAATTTTGTGGAAACGGTTATTCGATTCCTCTGTTTAAGAGGATAATAAAACTGATTACATAATTTCATCCCAAAAAAACAAACTGATTATAAATAAAACCTTCCTATTCCCACAACAACGTCGGTCGCGCCATATTACAGAAATTTGATCGGAAAAAGAGAAATTGTGGTTTGCTCTGATCGGATCGCAATGGGTGACGATTTGAAAAGGTGGGTATCAGATCAATTAATATCTCATAATCTCTTGGGAGTTTCGTCTCCAATTCTGGTTCAATTTGTAATAACCCTGGCTAAGAATGCATCCTCCGTGCCGGAACTCGTCAATAATCTCGTCGAATACGGGTTACCGTCCGAGAAGATCCATGGTTTTGCCCAAGAAATTTTTTCTAAGGTTACGCATAAATCATCTTCATCTTCTACTTCTACTGTGTTGAATCTGTATCAACAGAGAGAAAGAGAGACTGCAACGTTGGCTAGGAAGCAGAATACTTACACCATCTTGGAAGAGGATGAGGATTTTGATGGTGGCAGTATTAGTCCTGTTTCTCAAAAGGTTGATAACTCTGGGGAAAAAAGATTCAGGAAGAGGACCAAGCCCAAGGAAGACGACGATGAAGAAAATGAAGAGATAATAGCTAAGGAGAAAAGGATTGTGAGGCGGCGGACTTCAAAGACAGAGGAAGGAGAAGAAGAAAGATTGCGGGATCAAAGACAGAGGGAAGAGTTGGAACGGCGCATTAGAGAAAAGGATGCTGCTGCAACCAGAAAGCTGACTGAGCGCAAGCTAACAAAGAAGGAGGAAGAGGAGGCAATTCGGAGGTCGAAGCCTTTGGACAATGATGAGATTGAAACTCTGAGGAAGCTTTCAAGGCAGAAATATCTGAATGAAAGAGAGAAAAAGATGGTCCAGAGACTCAGGGATGAGATTAAAGATGAGCTGTCTTTATTTGAAGGAGTAAAGCTTACTGAAGCAGAGTACCGTGACCTTAGATACAAGATAGAATTGTACCAACTCCTTGAGAAAGTAATGACTCAAGAGAATGATGAGATTCAGGAATATAGGATCCCTGAAGCCTATGATCAGGATGGTGCTGTGAGTCAAAGTAAGAGGTTTGCTGCTGCTTTGAAGCGTTACCGGGATACTAATGTTTCCGACAGAATGAATCCAGCTGCAGAACAACAAGCCTGGGAAGAACATAATATTCGGAAAGGAACTTTAACATTTGGGTCAAAAGACAGGAAACAAAACTCTGATGAGTATCAGTTTGTGTTTGTGGACCAAGTTCAGTTTGTAAAGGCAGCAGTAATGGATGGCTCAGATATTGAAGAAGAGCCCTTGGTTGAGGATCTCCAAAAAACAGCAGCCAAAACCTTAGCTGACAAGCTTCAGGATGATAGGAAAAGTCTGCCTGTTTATCAATATAAAAACCAATTGCTTGACGCCATAGATCAATATCAGGTGCTTGTAATCATGGGCGAGACAGGTTCCGGAAAGACTACTCAAATTCCTCAGTATCTCCATGAAGCGGGTTATACAAAGCGTGGGAAGATAGGATGTACCCAACCTCGGCGAGTTGCTGCTATGAGTGTTGCTGCTCGAGTGGCTCGGGAGATGGGAGTCAAACTAGGACATGAGGTTGGGTATTCAATTCGTTTTGAAGACTGCACTTCAGAGAAAACTAAGTTAAAATATATGACCGATGGAATGCTGTTGCACGAATTCCTCACCGAACCTGATCTTGCTAGTTATAGTGTGTTAATGGTGGACGAGGCGCACGAGAGAACATTGTCAACCGATATTCTTTTTGGGTTGGTTAAGGATATTGCTCGATTCAGACCTGATCTCAAGATATTGATTTCAAGTGCAACCCTTGATGCTCAGAAATTCAGTGATTTTTTTGATTATGCACCTATCTTTAGGATACCAGGAAGGCGATATCCTGTTGAGATCAATTTCACTAAAGAACCAGAGGCTGATTATTTGGACGCAGCAATTGCTACTGTCCTTCAGATTCATGTGACAAGGCCTCCAGGAGATATATTGGTTTTCCTTACTGGACAGGAGGAAATTGAGACAGCTGAGGAGATCTTGAAGCATAGAACAAGAGGCCTGGGAACCAAAATAGCTGAGCTGATGATCTGTCCAATTTATGCTAACTTACCCACAGAGCTGCAGGCCAAGATATTTGATCCGATCCCTGAAGGAGCACGAAAAGTTGTGCTAGCCACAAATATCGCTGAAACTTCCCTAACAATTGATGGCATAAAGTACGTTGTTGATCCTGGATTTTGTAAAATGAAGTCCTATAATCCACGCACAGGAATGGAGTCATTATTGGTCACTCCCATTTCAAAAGCATCTGCAAACCAACGTGCAGGGCGATCAGGACGGACAGGACCTGGGGAGTGCTTTCGGCTCTATACAGCAACTAATTACAACACTGATTTGGCAGAAAATGCTGATCCCGAAATACAGAGGACGAATCTAGCAAATGTCGTGCTTACGCTCAAGAGTCTCGGCATCAATGATATCCTACATTTTGACTTTATGGATCCTCCACCGGTACAATCGGTTCTAAAAGCCCTGGAATTGCTATATGCGCTTGGTGCACTCAATAGTGAAGGTCAGTTGACCAAGACAGGTAGGAGAATGGCAGAATTCCCGGTTGATGCCATGCTGTCAAAGATGATCGTTGCCTCTGAGAAGTATAAATGCTCAGAGGAGATCATTACCATTGCAGCCATGCTATCCATTGGGAATGCAATATTTTACCGTCCAAAGGACAAACAAGTGCACGCTGATAATGCCCGAAAGAACTTCTACACAGGGAATGTAGGAGACCACATTGCGCTGTTAAGGGTATACAATTCCTGGAAGGAAACCAATTTTTCTACTCAGTGGTGCTATGAGAATTACATCCAGGTTAGAAGCATGAAGCGGGCAAGGGATATAAGAGATCAGTTGGAGGGATTGTTGGAAAGGGTGGAGATTGAAGCTACTTCAAACGAGAATGATCTGCAAAGTATACAGAAGGCCATAACATCCGGTTTCTTCCCCAATTCAGCCAGGATGCTAGCAAATGGATCATATCGAACTGTGAAAGACCCTCAAACTGTTTATATGCATCCGAGTTCGGGTTTAGCAGAGGTGCATCCAAGATGGCTGGTATACCATGAACTGGTATTGACAACAAAGGAATACATGCGACAGATGACCCAGTTGAATCCTGAATGGCTAGTTGAAATAGCACCCCACTACTATCAGTTGAAGGATGTCGAAGATCCCAAGTCGAAGAAGATGCCTCGAGGAGAAGGCCGTGCATCATCAAGTCAATAAATTTATCTAACTTCAGTGAGTAGCAATTTCAATACCCAGCTGAGAGTATGAATGTGTAGTGTTTTATTTGGTTGTCGTTTTCTTTTAATTAAATATTTGCAGTTTCTAGGACTTAGGCTTGTACTTTTTATTATTGATGAAGCTGAAGGACTGCCATTCTGCATCCAACTTTGTGTATAAATTTTCAGCAGCTAGAAATTGTCTTATGATGATGCACATTGGCTATCTCTTGTGAAGTTTATAATTTACACTAGGCTTTACAGATATGTTCTGCAATCTGCATTCCCAGACTAAGTTTGTCAAAGCTTTATGAGCTTTGCATTTTGTTTGATTTTTTTTTTTTTAAATAAAGTAAACATCTGAATTTGTGAGCCGATTTTGGTCTTACATGGTAGTGAGATGTTGAGTGCAGTACCATTTGGTTGCCCACTTCGCCTAGTTTAAACAAAATAAAAAATTGATGTATACTTTTTACCAAATCCAAATTGAGTATTCTAGACTGCTAGTACTTGATCCTGATAGGGATTTTGGGGGTGGTGGAGCGGGGAGCATTGTTACAGTGGAGCACTTAATTTCTATAAAAAATAAATAGCAATAATAATGATTGCAGTTGGCACTATGGAAGGTGTAGATGCTGGACTACAGAGGACTGGAATTTCGGAATATAGCATCAAGAGCGGTTATAACCACTGGAGAAGTAAGGGACAGAAATTTGAAACAAGGTGAAGTGGTTTGGAACAGAATATGTATTCCAAAGCACAGTTTTACAGGATGGTTAGCTTTGCCAAGACAATCTGATGATATTGGAAAGACTGACAAGAATGAACTTCCTGATCAAAAAGTAGGATGTGATGCTGCTGTTGAGGAATCTGAGTGCCATTACTCGGACCAAATTCTGACAGATTTGATGCGTTGATTGGAGTTCAAAATGTAATGGTAGACCTTTGAAGCAAGCAGGAGCAAAATGCATAGAAGAATCAGGAATGGCTGCGGGTTTTAAAAAAGCTGAAGAGGAAGCTGGTGAGTGGGGAGCTGTTGTGGCCTTGCACATTTATCATGTTTGGATTGAAAAGAAATGCCAGGAAATTCACACAAGTCATCAAGCAGCCAGCAGAGAGGATTCAAGCTATCAAACAGGAGTTGTGTTGGATAGTTCAGATGGAAAAGTAGCAAACTTTAAAAAAGCTGAGATAGATTAGTCTTTAGATATAAGAATTGGTATGTACATTTGTACAGATGCAGGAAAGAGTGTTGAGAAGATGACAGTCTGTGATGTACAAAATGAGTGAAGTTTGATCAATGTATGATTCAGACAGAAGGAGAAAAACCCCATCAATACAGAGGAAGCTTTGGGAGATCAGACAGGAGAGGGAGATCCGGGAGACTAGGTTCTATGAGAAAGCCATGGGAGCCCCGACGCCTTTGAAGCAGCAAGTAATGTTGCGGTGGACCCCACCCCCCTCCGACTGGAAGAAGTTAAACACAGATGGTGCCTTTGATTGCAGAACAGGGCTGGCAACGGCTGGGGGAGCGATAAGGGATGAATTCGGAAGATGGAATGGGGGCTTTGTTATGAATATAGGATACTGTACCGTAACCGGAGCGGAACTTTGGGGCCTTTTCCAGGGCTTGAGCTTAGCATGGGATAGAGGATATCGGAAGCTGCACGCTGAAGTTGACAACCAGAGCGTAGTGCAGATGGTTACTGATAGGAGCAGACCTCCGTGCGCGCATGAAGGGTTAGTAACAGCCATTAGGTAACTTGATGGACAGGGAATGGTTAGTTGTGTTACAACATGCACATAGGGAGTGCAATTTTGTCGCCGATTATATTACATTCTTAGCGGTCACGAATCCAACTGGGTTTCAAAGATTGGATTCGTCACCATTAAAAATTTTTTGGTAGTTAACCCACGATATTGTAGGGGTGGCCTATCCCCGGCGCATTGTATATTCGTAGCACATTTTGCGTAGCAGTGTATATATCTCCTTTGCAGCAAAAAAATTGTATGATTCAGCTTTACCCAAAAAGAAAAGATAAGAACAATAAGAATAATAAAGGGTAAATTTGATGAGGACAAAATTTGTTAAAAAAATAATAAAAGAAATTAAAAATTACCGAGCAAAGGAAACCAACAATGAAAACTAAATAAAACTAGGAGTAATTAAAAGTTGCAAAATAAAAAAATGAAATTCAAGAGATATTTAAACTTACTCAATACTATTGACTATTGTGAATATTTCGTGTCTGACTTTCTAATTCGTCGACTTCAAAACCCCAGTAAGGCAGAAACGGACTAAACGTTCCTTTTTTTTCTCTCCCCACCGCCGTCTTCGACGGCTACTCTCCTCTCCAATCTCCACCACAATGCGGAAGGGGATGCGCCGTGGTCCAGGCACCGCCGGTGGTGGCGGATTATTGAGAAAACAGCTCCTCAGAGACATAGAAAGTTGTTCCAACAAGTACTATACCGCCGACGAGCTTGTGAGTCACCTCCGATCCAAGTACCGGACCTACGAACGGAAAAACCTTCGCGAGTTGACCAGACTAGTAGACGAAATACTCCAGGAAACTAAAAACGGTAAGAAATTGAAACATTCTAGTTTTAACAGTGACAATTGTTGTGGTAGTGGTGATGATAGTAGTGATAATTGTACTGTGCAAAAGAAGGGGAAAAAGAGGCATATAATGGATGATATGAGAAATTCTGTTGGGTCCACTGTGTCTACTTCGGACGTGGAGGAGTTTTCAACAGCTGATGATGTGGTTTATGGGGAGGAGTATGAGCCTAAGTTTGATTTGATGAAGTCTCAGTTGAGGGAAAGGTATTGTGGGGAAAGAGCTGGGAAGGAAAATGGAAGGGGAGCAGTAGAATTGGAGGTTGATAAGAATACTGCCCGTAAGGAGGTTCAGAAAGTTGTTTTGCTTGAAGAAAGCAGAAATCAGGACTCGAGTGTGGCGAGAAAGGATGATGGGAGAAGGAGTGATGAAGGGGTTGGGAATGGGGGGCCATTGTTTAAGGATTTTGGTGGAATGGATAAAGTGTTGGATGATCTCATCAGGAATGTAATTGTGCCTCTGTTTCATCCCCACCTGCCTCAGCATCTTGGAGTTAAGCCGATTTCTGGAATTTTGTTGCACGGCCCGCCAGGATGTGGCAAGACTAAGCTGGCTCATGCTATCGCCAATGAGACTGGTCTTCCTTTTTACAAGATATCTGCCACTGAATTGGTCTCTGGTATCTCAGGTAAACATTCTTGCAACTCCATTATAAAAGTCAGTCAACCTCTTTGAGAATATTTGTCTTGCTGCTCTATTTTCCATTATAAAAGTCAGTCAACCTCTTTGAGAATATTTGTCTTGCTGCTCTATTTTCGAATAACGAGGTAGGATACAGTAAATGGTTTGAGTGCTGCTAACATGGGCTATTGTCTGCTCTTATTAACTCCTTTGATTATCTTCAATTGTTTTTCGATGATAAGATGCCTACTCCCATTTTAAATTACTTTTAAGCTTTCCACTTGTATATTTCATGAAATTCGAAATTTCTTTCTGTGTGACACTGATGTTGCACTAATATGGACGTGTTTAATAATCTGTGTCCAGTTAATAATAATTAGGATGGCAGTTGGGATACTTCTATTGGCCTTTTTTGGGGGGTGGGGTGTTGAAGGTTTTGATGATATCTTGTCCTGCATCCCATTATTATCTAATCATTTGATTCATTTTTTTTTTCTGGTGTTGTAATCTTGAAACTGAAGTAGCCTTCTTCTCTCAGGTGAATCAGAAGAAAACATAAGAGATCTGTTCGCTAAAGCATACAAGACAGCTCCTTCAATTGTTTTTATTGATGAGATTGATGCTATAGCATCCAAAAGGGAAAATCTGCAACGAGAAATGGAGAGGAGGATTGTAACACAGTTGATGACATGCATGGACGAATCACATCGACCTGGCAAACCTGCTGATGGAGATTCAGATTTAGTGAACTCAAACGCCAGACCTGGACATGTTTTAGTGATCGGAGCTACAAACAGGCCTGATGCTGTTGATCCTGCTTTAAGAAGGCCTGGACGATTTGACCGGGAAGTTTCTTTGGGTGTTCCAGATGAAAATGCTAGGATCGAGATTCTCTCTGTAGTTGCACGAAATCTGAAAGTTGAGGGTAATCTGGATCTATTGAAGATAGCGAGGGCAACTCCAGGATTTGTTGGGGCCGACTTGGTTGCACTTGCAAATATGGCAGGCTATCTTGCAATGAACAGAACCTCAGACCTAAGAGAAGCTGAGCTTTCAAGAAGTAATGCGAATGGGGAACATTGTAATCACTGGTGGAAGCAAACTTGGTCGCTGGAAGAGATTGAAAAGTCAAGTATCACCATGGCTGATTTTGAGGTGATTTTACACAGAAGGACAACTCTTCTTTATGCTACTATTTGTTTCTATTTTTTCCTGATCTTGATTGTGGTTTCCTATAAGTTTCTTTGTTACTTCTGTTTAGAACTCGTTTGTCTTGTTCATATCCTCAGTGATTCTGGTCAATTGAGTTTGTATGCAATAGTGTCTTCGTGTTACAGTCGTGTAAGAAAATGAATAGAGTTTAAAGCTCGTGTTTGGTTTCAATAATAGCATCTGTAGTTCATTGTTCCCAACTCTTTCTGGGCTGGGAAACAGTAAAAGTAGTCACAGAGTAAAGTATTGCGATGTGTGAAAGATTATTTCTTTCTCTTATCGGTTGTTGTTTATGATCTGGCTACCTTCCATGGTTGTGCTGAATGTGCTTCACTGGTTGCAGAAAGCAGCTGGGATGGTTCAACCTTCTTCAAGGAGGGAAGGGTTTTCCGCAATTCCGAATGTTAAATGGGATGATGTTGGAGGGTTACATCATTTGAGACAGGAGTTAGATCGTTATATTGTTAGGCATATCAAGTTTCCAGAGTATTACGAGGTAACTGATTTTTACTGCTTAAATGGAATCAAGTTTGTTTGAGCCTGAAATATCAGTTTGCGTTTCTTCTATAAGGTTTATCAAACATGGCCTCATTATTTTCATGTCCCCGGTTAAGTAGTGTTGACATTAGACTTATGATTAACTATTAATTTTACATATGATGCACTTCTGTAGACTTATGCAGTCATTGCTATTTGAAGCTAAGTTTAAGATATTATTATTTGTTGTCACTACAGTACTATAAAAACTTCATTCCACTTAGTTGCACGTGGTTTTCAGCTAGTAACTTTCAGCTTTTGTTTTTTATTATTTCTTGTATTAATCTTTACATCTGCAACCAGGATGAATATTTCACTTCATGTTTTGAGGTGCAAATGCAAATTAATGTTGTTTTCTATGATTGTGTGTATAAGACCTTGTTGTATGTGTATCCTTCATATCCTTGAATGGAAATAACATTTTGTGGACTTTTGCCAGTTATCTTTCTGATTTTTGTGTTGATCCTAGGAAATATTCCAACCATTTTTCATTTGGAACTACTTTGGGTAGATGGTCAAAAGATGGAAATTGGTCTGGTGATGCTAGGCTCTATCAACTGTTTGGATTATGAACCCGAGAAAACAATGCATGTGTTTGTTTCTTCCTTTTAGAAATTAGAGATCCGGCAACAGATTCTTTAGATCAAAAGGTTAACTGGCATTCCGTGATTCTTCAATTTCACATTTTCACTTGTTATAAACAGCGCCTACGTTGGGTAACCTTTTTAAGTCTGATTTTAATTGAAGATGGAAAAAACCTGCTTTCGTAATATGGAAAAGTATCTTGAAATGGGCAAAGAAATAGAAAATTATAAGCAGTGTCTGAATCCAAACAACAGATTCATCATGCCACCAGCTTCCTATACAGCAAGATCTTTTGCAAAGAGTAATTGTAGATGTTGGTTTTAATCTTGTCGATGGAAAATTGTGAGTTTTGTGTTTGAAAATTTATTGTTTGCTAAACATTTGAGCAAGATGACTACTACTTAATGCTCCGTGCTCCTTTGAAAGTGTTATTCTGTAGTGAACTCATGGCTTTGCTCTGCTATCTTTATCTAAAGACATTTGCTAATGTTTTCTGTAGATACTTGCTATAAAAAGGTGATGGTGATTGCTCACCAATCCTTTTGTTATGACGCGCGATGATTATTTATTCTTAAGACTGTCATGAATTCTCAAATTCTTTCTTTGATGTTTGATAACTTCTATGTTTTTCGATAGCTGCCTGTTGTGTCTTCTGGCGTGGTAATTTCTTTGCACAATCACTGCCTTTTGGCATGATTTAAGCTACATTTCCGGTTTTTAACATTAATTTTGCTTTCAGGATTTTGGATTGGATCAAGAGATGGGATTTTTGCTCTATGGTCCTCCAGGGTGTGGAAAAACATTAATTGCGAAGGCTGTTGCCAATGAAGCTGGAGCAAATTTTATACATATCAAGGTTCAGCCCTAGTTTTAGTACTTTGATCGGAGTGTTGTTTTCCTTTTTTTTGTAATACTCTTCTGCTATTTGGCTCCCTAGGGACCTGAACTTCTGAATAAATATCTTGGTGAAAGTGAGTCGAGGGTCCGAACCATCTTCCAGCGTGCAAGGACATGTCCTCCCTGCATACTTTTCTTTGATGAGGTATTCTGGGCTCTCAAAAACCTTTTCTTTATGTTTATTTTGAAGTCGCGTTATTTTTTAGCTGCTAAGAACTATTACACTTTTCAGACTTTGCACTAACGGCGTGCTTTTTCTTTCTTTTCAGGTGGATGCTTTGACCACAAATCGTGGGAGAGAAGGGGGACGATCTGCTGATCAAGTGTTGAACCAGGTGAAATTTTACATTTTTTTGGGTGTTGACGAAGAATCATTTGACTTAGTTTGAGTATGGCTCTAAAAGCTGTCTACTGTATGATACTGCAGCTACTGATAGAGTTAGATGGTGCTGATCATCGAAAGGGGGTATATGTCATTGGTGCCACCAATAGGTATGAGTTGTTTCTTGGGGTCCTTTTCTTCTCTTAAGGTGTTTTCAAATGCTAAGATAAGCTAGTAATCTTTTTGAGAACTATGTTGTCATGATCTCTTCATCCTGACATAAGGTTGGACGAATAATGGTATTCATCTCATATCCCATGGCATTCATCCCAGGGAAAAATTAAATAAAGCAACTCTTGTAACCACATTAACCAGTGGATGAATGCGACGTGAGGTGAGATGGTAAAGTGAAGTGATTTCCTTTATGTGATGAGTATCAATCTTTTTTTTGGATATCACCAGGCCTGAAGTGATGGACAATGCTCTCCTCCGACCCGGAAGGTTTGGAAAACTTGTGTATGTACCTCTTCCTAATGCAGAAGAGCGTGGTTTAATCCTCAAATGTCTTGCAAAGAAGAAGCCTATAGATACCAATGTGGATTTGATGGCCGTAGGAAGAGACTGCTGTCAAAATCTTAGTGGAGCTGATCTCTCTGCTTTGGTTTGTTTTCCCTACTTTCACTTGGGATAATCTCTTTTTAGTCTGGTCAACGATTCTTGATTTAACTCTTTAACATGTGTCTTTGATTTGCAGATGAACGAAGCTGCTATGGCTGCCATGGACGATGCACTTGTTTCTGATCACAATAGTTCAGGCGGCAGCACTCGACGAACAATCAAATATGAACATTTTAAGCGGGCACTGGAGAAAATATCCCCATCCGTGTTAGACGAAGTATGGTTTAATTTGATTTAACTGTTCTGAATGTGATTTTGAAAGGGCAGGAAAATTCTCATCCTGAAATATGTTCCTTTTTTGTTTTGTGTGTTGTGATTGTGCAGCAAATACAGTACTACGAACGCCTTTGTGAAAGTTTCAAAGCAAGGTGATTTCGGTAATTATATGATTTATTTGGTTGACCTGCCTGGGTTTCTTAGCTACTGAAGGGAAAGAAGCACAGGGATCTAGAAGTTCGGAACATATTTCTTTTTGTGAAGTTGAATGTAACATATAGAGAGAGAAACCCCGGTGACTTGTTTCCCATAGGATTCGAAAGCGCGAGGAAATGATAAATTTATTCTGAACACTTGACATTTTTGTCCAGCTGCAATCTGGATTGAGTAAATTAATGCAGAGAATTACTATATTTCTGATCGCAGCACGGTGTATACAGATTAGCCAAAGCACACTCTTTGACAGAATATCGAGAATGATTTTGTGTGGGGGTTGATCTTAAAAATAATAGTATCCTATTTCAATATATTGTTTCAGTTTAACAGAGTGGGTTTTCTCCTTTGGGAGAACCTGAGGGAGTTGCATTAAGGGTGTGCACTGTGCAGGAGCCAGAACAAAACCAGGGAGCAAATAAGGGCTGGATGGGAACTCTGTTAAAAACGTACGTCGGTCTGGTCTTAACGTCGACCCACCCATCGCCTTTAATAATGCACAGAAGGTCAAAATCGTGAATCAAATCTCTAGTACTAGTAGTAGTGACTAGTGACTGTAATATCTTTATTGCTAGTTTCCCACGTTCAACGCGCCGAAGAAGACCACTAAAAATGGTAAAGAGATCTTACAGATTTTTCTTTCTATGTAAGTTGTACACTACACATAAAGAGTAAGTTGTACATGACATTAGTAATGCTATTAATAGGCCTCGCTTACCATTGAAATAATTCACCAATGGGAAAGCTCTTCTCAAGAAACTCTCACCAATGAAAGCTTACCATTGAAATAAATAAATTTATTCTGAACAATAAAAAAAGGTGTTTTTTTTTTCTTTTTAGTTACTGGCCATGTAGATATTCTAGTACTACTTTTTCTTCTAAAACAACATGTTTGACGATAGGTATATTGTTTTTCCAAAATGAAGAGACACTTTTTCTTCTTGTGTCTACTGTTAGTGATTTATCTTCGTTAAATAATGTACCATTACGAGTACTTGCATAAGATGATTTTTTGTATATCAAATAGGAGCTTCTTTTTTTTTTTAAGTTGATTGATCAATATATTAATACAAATCAAATCTTTTTTTTTTTATAAAAAAGGCACAATTTAATTTGATTTAGTTGAAAATTGTGTGTCTTATTAGAAACGAATGAGTGCTGATGTTTCATGAATGGTTTTTCATAGACTATGTTTATCTAACTAATGAAGAGGGTAGGAAACATGCTGAAGGATCGATCAAGCAATATCAAATTCTAATTAAGAACTTCACGTGCATCAAGCTAGCGGGTTCTAGTTCCAAAAACAATGAGCAAGGTTGTTGTCATCACAATTGAAAGATGGATGCCTGCTTTCATTGTTTTGCATCTACTTCTCAAAATTGATTTTGAACAAATGATCGATATATGTTGCTTTCACCTAGCAAAGTAGTAGTACTATAGTAGTACGCCGAAGATCTAATTAATGGAGGAAAGGAGTCAAATTAATTTGCTTTGGGACCTGATGATGATCCAGAACTTATTGTGTACACAAATCCAAATGCAGCGTTACTAAAACTAGATAAAAAGACCAGCACTTGAAAGTGATGCAAAGATTCAAAGAACACACGCTAGCTAGCTAACTTGTGCCCTAATGTCTCTCACACACGCTGTCTATAAAAACTTGAAATTAACTTAAAACGATCGAATGCAGAGAAGTTAAAGTGTTAAGGGGGGAAAAAAAGAAGAAGCTTTTTCTTCCAAACACAGTTGACAGTTCACACACTCACACGCACATCGTTTCTGCAGCTTTCTTGCTTGGCAACACAATGGAGGATTTTAGAGCATTTGCGTTGGAAGCAATCAATCTGATGGAAGATGCGCTGGAGAATCACCGTCCTCGTTTCATCAGATTGGAGAATGCCATTGTTGGGTTCAATGCAGGAGAACTACAACTTGCTAGGACTGAACCAGGTAATTACTACTACCTCCGTCCAAAAAAAATAGTCCACATCGAATTTTGAATTTTATACTAAAAAAACTCAATGTAGACTATTTTTTTGGGACGGAAATATTTTAATATAAAACTCAAAACTGGACTATTTTTTCGGGACGGAGGTAGTAGTATTTACATCGTTTTTCTTTAATATTCATTCTCTATTGTGCATATGCATGGTTGTTTCTACTGGGCTGCATGCAGTTTAAAAGTCATTTTGATGTTTCTTTTTTTTAAAAAAAAAAAGAAAACAATTTTGGTGTCTTCATATATATGTAGGACAACCCCTAAATGATATGAACGAAGTGGTGGAGAAGATGTTCCATAAGATCATGAAATTAACTGAGTACCTGGGGTGGGAAGATGAGGCTTTCCTGAGATCTCAGGAGGTGGAGGCTGGGTTTGGTAGTGATGAGAATCATGTAGCCTTCCATGGAGATTCTCCTAGTGAGGGGAATGAGTTAGTCCTTCATTCTAGATTTGAATGCCAAGTTTACTTTGCAGGCCAATCAAGGAAGAAAGGATGGATCTTGACTATCTATGTGATAGGGAGTTGGTTCAAGAGAGCTATGATCAAGGTGATGAGAATGTCATTAACTTTGGGGTGCAAACCAAAGGAGATGAAGACCTCATGGAAATAAGTGCTGAAGAGTATCAAGAGAGTGTGACTCTGTGTGCTCCATGAAGATCATTGATCAAGCTAGTGTGAAGAGTCATTTAGGTTCTTGAGTGGACGGCCTATTTGATCAAAGTGTTCAAGATTGAGTCCGTTGCTACACAATTGGATAGGTTGCAAACTATCTTAATTGTTTCAAGTGTTTTTCCAATCTTTTGGATTCAATAAAGAGAATTCTACAAGTTTTGGAGTAAATTGGAGGTTTCTACAACTTAAGGGGCGCAAGACCAATATTCCACTTTTGGAAGGGCGTTCAAGACATTTTACTTCAACAATTTGGAGCTGAATTTCGAGATTAGAGTCATTGTCTAAGTCTAGGAGTTATTTTCGAATTTTTATCTAGTTAAATAAGTCATGTGGACTGAATTAAGCTAGAGTGTTTTGATTAGGAGTCTTAGATTCCTTCTAGATATTATCCTACTTGAGGATAAGTGATTTAGATAAGGTTTCCTAGATTTTAGATAGAGTCAAAGAGATCAAGCACTCTTCTACTTTTACTCCTTGTGAGATAAGATTAGAGAGTCCTAATTGGTCTTCTTTTTAGTGGTGCTGGCCTAAAATTCAAGCCTATATATAGGAGGCTTGGCCGAATTTTAGAAGCACCCTTGAGTGGTCATTTTTGTTGTCTCTTTTGAGAGTTTTTCCTGTGAGGAATTTTTGTTAAATGGAGTGTCCATTTTTCGTGTCAAGTATGATTAAACCAAGAGGGTTTTCATCTTGTCTTGGATCTTTTGATCTTGCGAAACCATTCTTTTCAAGTATGCTTCTTGATAGAATTGTTTTAAAACTAAACTTCTTATTTTCATACTACTTCTAGTAGTTCGATTGATGAGCCTTTCCTTTGGCTTGGTGTTCGAATTTCATGATGAGTGTGTTCATGAGATCCATTGTGGGGTTTGTCCTACTTTTGTTGGATGAGTTGTGCTTTGGCATAAGCATTTTGAGATAGTGTATGTGTTGCATATCTTTGGTTGGTTATGAAGATTACTAATCAATAGTATTCCTTCATAGTTGGGCATTGTTTGCTCCTACCTTTCTTGAGTCTCTTGATTAATGACTGATCGAGTATATTGAATGGTGTCCTTGCTATTCTTAGCGTGGGTTGTTGTTTAATTCGAATCTTTCATGGATAATGTGTTCTTTGCTTGGTTTGAGTTAAGAGATAGAATCACTTAGATAAACGATCGTCTTACTGTGAATTTTCCGCACTCTTTTGAGTTTCACGGGATAGACAAAATTATCTTCGTACCTTCTTGTTGATGGTTGCATTAACGAAATTTGTTTCGTCTACGAGATTGCTATCAGGTAGGTTTTTCTTCTTTTGGCATTTTACTTTGAATTAATCTCCCTGTTATATATCTTGTGGCCTCTGAATTAACAACCATTTTTTTTTTCTTTGTTTTCCCTTCAACAGAAGCAACTCCCCCACCACTTCCAACTGCGCTGGTGGATCTTAGGGCCCTCCTACGGGCTAACCCTAATATCGAGTCCTTCGACTCCAAGTCCCTACTTGCTGATGATGACTCCTTCGACGACCTGATTGTTCGTCTGGTTGATCTCTCCAAAGATGCATGCCGTCATGCATTCCTTAAGAAGAGGATTACCATCATCAAAAACGGCGGGATTGAGCTACAGTTCCCACAGTGGTTTGAGTTCGCTGCTGAGACTTTAGCCCAGCTTTAATCACAGGTTTGTGTGTGTGTGTGTGTGTGGTTTCTTTGCTACATACCTGAAGTTACATTATTTTTTTTTTCTGAGTTTTTGTGAGCAATAAATATTTATGAGGTGTTATATGTGTCTTTTTTTTTTTTTCTTTTTGGTAGACTCCCCAGACCCCCGGCGGAGGAACATCTGAAGTATGAACAAAGTTTCGACGAAGAAGGATTAGACAATCCATTTGAATTTGGCAGTTTTTTTTTTTTTTTTTGTCATTTTCCCGGAGGTGCATCGGTGCATGTATGGAAATGAAGCTAAGATTACTGGTTCTCATGACGATCTTGGAAGAATCTGTAATCTGTTATTTATGGCTGGTTTCAACTTATTATTATTGCTGCGTGCTTTTCCCTTAAATTAATTTATGTCACAACTTGTGTTGTGGTTGCAAAACCCTACCGACATTGAGCGAATTTGTGCCCAGAAATACGATTTGCTAATGGTTCCTCACGCCAGACGTAATGTTTTGAAGTCGCTAATGTAATTTGAAAGCTAGCACTTTGATAACACAACTACTGGAACATACTAGAGGCTGTAACGATTTTATATGCTACTAAACAAATAACAATAACATTTTTGTGAAGTCTAGAAGTTCTGAACATGCACATTTTGTTTGATGGAAATAGTAAAATTTTGGGAGTTCTGAGTATGCACATTTTGAACTAAAAATAAAATCTTAAACTGAACAATAATTATGGGACGGAGGACAATAATTGCTCTATCTTTTTTGATAAAAATCGGCAATGTAGTTAAAACTGTCAAGGAAAGCCACTCAACTGCCACTACTCAGTATATGCATACAACCATAATGCTTGTAATTAATCTAGGCAACACTCAAAACCACAATCCACACCCGGATGATGATGGATGTGGTAAAAGCCTAACATATGGACAGTTCTCTGGAGTCGGTTAACAATGCTACTCTAGTTCAGCTCTGTCTAGCACAGTCGTCACAGCAGCCTTAATCTTCGTCACTGGATATATAGATCTGGCCGGCATCAGGGCTGCAGCAAGGTAGACGGCAGCTCTCCTTTTCGGCTGCTGATACGAGCACACGTTTCAATTCGCAAAGGCCAACCACCCCTCCTCTCTTGGGGGAGGACACGGATGAAATACTCAGCTCCAAAAGTTTCCACAATGCCGGAATCATCATCAACAGGGGAAGAGAGTTCGCGAACCGTCTCAGGGATAGCAGTCACATAGTCAATGGATACCAATAAACTTGTAAGTTGGTTCCTTCAAACACACATCATTACCAAAAAGTTAATTTCTCCGCCATTATTGCTTCTCTGATAATTTGGACGTGGTTTTCAGTCAGATTCTTGATTTTATACTCTATAATAGGCACTACTTATATTGTGGCGCTTCTCAAATTCAAGTACCAAAAGGAACCAAAAAACCACCACCAGCTTGGATTTCGCCAACTTTTAATCACTCGTTTTTTCACTGCCTCTCAACTATATTTTCCAGAGACTGATGGAGTATCAAAAATGAACAATGAACAGAAGTCAAAATTGTATTTATCCCCTTCCGGTCTTCCCTCCTAATTAAATTATTTCCTTTTAAGGAATGAAACCGGGTTGGAGCATGGTTTTTGTAGTAGTCTCTAATTACGGAAATAATATTCTACTTTTATTTTGTATCAGGCTTACCAAAAAAAAAAAACAATGTAGATTATTTTGTGAACATGAAATATTATTATATATTCTTTACCAGTTTTCGATATTTGTAATAAATACCTTCAGAGGACATGATAGGGTGATGAGTGAAATACGAGAGCTCATAGACGGGAATTGGACGGTGAAGTTGGGTCATGTCCATCGGGAGGTAAATTTTCCGACGGATGCAATGGCGTCAAAATCGGAAAGAACCAATTGGGGTTATGGACATTTTGTAAAACCACCTACTATAGAGTATTAAAGTGGTTAAATCATAATATAATGGGGATCATATCCCCGGCATGTCATTGTGTCTTATCTCGTTTTAGGCTCTTATTTTGCAACAGTATCATCAAAAAGAAAAAGGTTTACCAACTGAGTTGGCACAAGTGGTAAGTAGCTTGATGTCACTTAAACAAGGTCTCGGGTTGGAAATCTTGTAGATGCAAAAAAAATTCTTGTTGAGAGACTAACCCATCACAGGCGTGTAACCCGGATAGACCAACGGATTAGTCGGGGCGAAATTCTGAAAACCGTGACAGGCAACAAAAAAAAAAAAAAAAGAAAAAGTTTTAATTTCATCTCAAAAGTAGTAAAATGGTCGTATTCAAAATTTGAGCGGTGAAAACAAGAATGTCGTCTTGTCCGTTTCGAAAGCGCGGATACAAGAGGAAGAACATTAAAGGCGTGATCTCTCGTTACATACGTCTCATTTCTTCTTCCTCTCTCGTCCCCAATTTCAGGAAATCAGGATTACGATCAAATTTAATCCGCATCATGGTGAGTCAACTTGTTGCTTTGCTTTCATTCTGCAATTCCATTTGATCATAGAGTATTGGAATTTGATGTTCGATTCTTCGAATTGTAGGCAAATGAAGCTGCTTCTGTCGGTGGCGATGGTGGTGCCGGAGTGGAGTCGTCGGGGAAGTTGAAACTCTATTCCTACTGGCGGAGCTCTTGTTCTTGCCGCGTTCGTATTGGTCTCAATTTGAAAGGTTTTACACTTTCTTCATTCCCCTCTTGAGTTGGATTTTATTGCAAAATTAAATAAATAATGAAATTGTCATAGAAACTACGCTCAACGGTGAATCTGAAGTGAGAATATTGGAATGATTGAAACAGGGATTGAGTACGAGTATAAAGCGGTGCATTTGCTCAAAGGAGAACAACGGAGTCCTGGTTAGCCTTGTTTTGCTCGTATATTCGCTTGTTCATTAGAGTTTCTTCTTAACGAGTAGTCTTGGTGATCTTGTAGCAATATCCAAAACTCATTTCAGTATAATAAATTTAGAATTACTGTTAAATTTCTTTATAGCTCTGAAAAATGTTAGCTCAACCTATGGTAATGCACTTCGCCGTCATTGTAACATGAAAGTTTGGCGGGTGTGCCTGAGATACCATGAGTCTTTTTGTGCTGCAATTGTTTTCTAGAGCGCTTAGCCCCTCCGTTCCGTTCTTTTGGATGATTACTGTCCTTTCCTTTGATTAACTTAGGTAGTTGTGTTAATTGTGTGAAGCTTAATCCTTCTAGAACGCTAAGATTTTGTGTTAATTGTGGCGCAGAGTATCTGAAGCTTAATCCTGTGGGGTTTGTACCTGCTCTTGTTGATGGTGATATTGTGTTGGCTGACTCCTTTGCAATCTTGATGGTAGGTTCCTTTCCGTGTGTTTTTAGGTGTAGTTGCCAGTGTGATATGTTTGTTTACCCTGAGCTTAATTTTGCACCTTACTTATGCGTAGTATTTGGAAGAAAAATTTCCTGAACGTCCTCTCTTACCCAAGGATCTTCAAAAAAGGGCCATTAATTACCAGGTAAAAGATCTAGAGGTGTTATTCTTCCTAAGTCAATGAGAGATTGTATGGTTTGCATTCTTCCCTAATTAGGATGCTTACCTTGCAGATTATATTTTTGTTTTTCAATCTTTATAAAATCCTGATGTTACATTATTCTGTCATTGTGATACAACATTCTTATCTCATAGTTCACATGCGTTGATGCTGCTAAGAGATAGAATTTGATAAAGTATGTCAATATATTATGTTATAGTTTCTGAAGTAGGGAATTTTCAACATAAATGCTACTGCAAACGATGCCTGAGTCTAACTCTCCTCTGTCTTCTTTGTTCTTATAGGCTGCAAATATTGTTGCTTCAGGTATTCAGCCTTATCAGAATATACCTATCCTGGTAAGCACTGATCTCCTTTAGTTTTTCCAAAGAAAGATAATCATGATCTGCTTAAAATATGACTTTACTGGAACTTCTGTTTAACCATTTACAGAAATTTATGAAAGAGAAATTCGGTCCTGATGAAGATGTTGCTTGGGCTAGAGATCATATTCGAAGAGGCTTTGCTGGTAAGCTTCGACACTTTTACTTTCAGGAATGTTGTGCTAATTTTTGTATTTCTAGGCTATTACAATGCTGACTCAAGGAACTAATATCACGGATTTAGTGGAAACTATGACAGTTTCCCTAGGATTGGTTGAACAATCTAATTGCTTACATGACTGAGGCAATTATAGAATAATTTTCTGACAGTCGTATGACATTGTTCGCACGAGGGTATCTGTTGAGAGAAAGTGACTGACCAGGATTCAATGTTTTGCTATCCGTTCAAATATCTGAACATCTCCAAATTACCATTGTCATTAGTGTATATCCATATGAATAGGGGATGCAGATGACCACAAACCACTTTGCATTGCCAAAAAAGCAAGGAAGGCTTCAGCTTGTTAATTTGCTAGCTTATTTCATATTTTTGGCATTTTTTTTCTATTAATTTTTTTTGTTTGAATTTGGCACTTTTCCAAGTTACTACTTTATTCTGGTGTTTATGAAAAGGCAAGCAGATGAAGTAAGATTCCGTTGACTGGTCTAGGTTATTTTCTGTTTTCAAAATTTGGTGGCATAAGAGTTGCCAGATTTGTATCTTTGGGTTGTAAGGTTCAGATACTCTGTATTCTTTGACAACAATTTCAGTTGTTTGGTGCTGTCTGTGTTTTCCTTGACATTTCCTCTTCCAACATACATATTTGCAGCTCTTGAGAAGCTTTTGAAAGATCATGCTGGAAAATATGCTACCGGAGATGAAGTTTTCCTGGTCTGTTTCATTTCTCGCCTATGCTGTTACCATTTAATGCTCTTTAGATTTCATGGGTTGTATAACAAACTCTTTATTATTAATTTGTACTGTATGATTCTCTCTTAATGCATCCAGGAGTTTGAAAATGAGTCTGTGCAAACAAGAAATCTCAGTAATGGAGTGATTTTACTCTCAGCTATATAATAGAATAGCCTACTTTAGATAAGACCTTTGCATATATAACTTCTGAGTTTTGTCCATCGATTTTTGCACATTACCAGTAGTTAAAAGTGATGCCTGTGTCTAGAATGAGAAAGAAGATGATATCACCTGGCGTTCCTTGAGAAAATGATGCATAGTATCATTCAAATTGTGGGATAGTTGCCGGATGCATATCTGGAAGTTAAATTTTTATATCTTAATACTTGACAATTCACAGATAAAGGCTGCTTGATGAATTTGTGTGTTTATGGCCTTATTTTACAGGCTGATTTATTTCTGGCCCCCCAAGTTGATGGTGCTATTCGGAGATTCAATGTTGACATGGTAATGACCCAAAACCTGTCTTCTCTGTTTCTGGAAGCTTTGAATTCTCATTCAGCGCATTTATCACTGTTCTTTTCAGTTCCAACTGCTCCTCGGTAGAGAGTCTAGAGACAGGATTTGTGTACTATTGTTGCAGTGATTGTTACTTAGTTAGTCCTTTCGCAAGTCTAGTCCTTTTTATCAGTCCTTCTGCAAGTTCTACTTTATTGATGCAAATTGGTGTTTCATTAATCGCACGAAATTATGATTTATCTTACTCCTCATGTTACATTCCACTCGCGTCAACTTTTAACAGTACTATAAGCTAATAAATGTGTTAGTTTAGCAAGTTGCAAGATTTTCTTTCCTGCACTTTCAGCTGCTATAATTTGCGAAGTCATTTTTACTGGGTATCCATATGATTCTTTCTACGATTCTTAAGTTGAATTTCATTCTGCATGTAGAATGAATTTCCTACGCTACTGAGGATTTATGAGGCATATTCAGAGATACCTGCTTTTCGAGATGCAATGCCTGGAAAGCAACCAGACACACCGCCCGAACATAGAGACTGAGGTAATAGAACCTTCGCTCCAAAATCTTTACTCAAAATCAACGTCTTCATTAAGATATTTCTTTGCTGAAAATTGCAAATCATTTTACATCCACATCTCATTCATTTGTTTGGGTTTTCGAGATAGTAGCGTCACTCGCGCCATTCTTGTGCAGGTGTTATAGCATATCCAATCACGTGGTCTAGAGAGAAACCATGTTTTTCCTTCTGTGGCGTCGCTGGACATATCATGTAATATAAATAAAGAAAACAGAGAAGTAAATAAGGTATGACCAGTTGAGTAGCTGTTTTAAGCGTCGTGGTTGGGGGAGTGAAAGTTGCCTGTTGGTTATGATCAGCAATATCCATCCCAAGGGGTGATTCTAATTCTGCCCCGGTTTGATGTAACTTGCAGAGAATGCTTTCATCCACATATGTAATGCAAAAGAAGTTGTTAATGATGAAACTAGTAACCATAGAACACAAGAGTGACAGGTATTTTGATTTGGCAGTGAATTTTCGTTTCATCAATAGAGCCAAGAGCCCTTCACTATACAATGATGGTTTGACAGCTCTTTCTCCATGCTTGCTCCCTCGTCTGGTGTTTTAAATCGACGAAAGCAAGGACTGCAGCTTATTTTTCCAACTAATTGCAGAAGAAGAGTTATGGAGCAAACGAGCCAGTAGGTTATGGGGCAATACTCAATTTAACTTCCAAAGAGTACAATCCATAATACAGAATGAGACACTTTGTTTAACAAAATGAATAGAATATACTATTCACAGTACAAGGAATAATTTGGTTAACTTAATCAGAGTCTTCCCATTCAGGGCAGTTTATTGAGTTCTCTGAAATGATGGAGCTTAAAACATTTTGACATTGACTACCTCTATTTCAAATAAGCCTCCAGGAGTCAAAAATACTACCACAGTACAACATAAACTTGATCAGCACAAAGGCAAATATAATTAATTTTCTCAAGTTGGATCACCAAGGAAGACTGCATTCTGCCCTCTCCGCCTTGAGCGCGCTTTTCAATTAGCAAAGAAGCTTCTCTCTCTCGTCTTTCAGATCTTGTGGGAATGCTCCAGACAAGATACTGAGAGCTCGAGAGGTCTCGGTAAAGCCAGAAACCATCATCAACCGGAGAAGCTTGGAAGGTGATAAAATACAGTCGCGCGAATCGTATCAGGATTGCAAGTCACATAGACAACAATGTCAAGCATACTTGTATGTTTTTCCCTACACCAACACACACATCAGGGGAAAACATGAACATCGAAATCACGAGCTAATAAAACTATAAATTTGAAACTCAATATGGACTATTTTTCGGGGACAGAAGTAGTAATTGAACATGGTTCCTAGCAGCTCATAATTTAGCAAACATTAACATGATAAAAAAACAAGTTGTTGGTGCTAATCAATCCAATGTAGTTGTTGGTTTGTGATCAAATGAAGGCATCGACGCAAGTCAAATCGAAAGTTGCCGGAGGTGGACAGTGGTGGCGCAGCGGAGTGGTTTGGAAGTTGGTCAATGAGAACAACGTACGGAATGAATTCCAGGATTAGCTTCCAGGTACATTCATTCATCCATAGCGTAAACTTGCAAATATATATGTATGCATTTGAAAATAGAAAACTAATCCTGGACCGCAAGACCCTTTCAAACTAATTACAATCATCTCTATAATATTATTATGTTCTGTAAAGGTGTGATCGTATGCTTGCTTGATTGTACACAATTCATTCCATATGAGGAAGAGTTACCGTGGCCAAATTATATTTTTATTCGTTTAAAGAAAAAAGTCATATTTATCGAATCTTTCAGACATATTAGATAAATGACAAATGCTTCCAAATAACCATTAAACGTGGTGTGGATTTGCGTTCAGAAAATCGGGAACAAAATGAACGTAGCTCCTGGTTCATAATATTTTACCAAATATCGCCATCATCAGACAAAAATGCACTAGTAGTATTACCGGGGGGTTGTGGAATATTGTCTCCGTCGTCACATATAAATATATATACATATATATATATATATATTCCTTCGGGTACAAAAATTCCAAATAATTTACATCCCCACATTAATTTGCTAATTTATCTTTGCCATCTATCCAGGAGGTACCACAACAATTTGTCACAGCTGAATTAATTAGGTTGATTCTATATTTCTTGGCATCATTTTGTAAGTCTATTTCTGACATTAATTCCCCCAGTTTGATTGATAACCGCAATTTGTCTTTTCGACTTGATATGATTCCAAATTCATTTAAAACATGCATGTGACCCTCCCCATTTATTTCATTTCGTTTTGTGGCTTCAATCAAATTATAATAATATTTAATCTTATCAGCACATATTTTTCTATCCAAAAAAATAAAATAAAGCAGAAGATAGTATCAGCACGTATTCTACCGAAATTTTGTTTTGAGAGTATTGTGTTAACAGATAGAGTAAAACGTTTGTTTTTGTTATTAATTGTAACAAAACAAAAAAAAAAAAACGAAAGGAAGAAGGATTAAAGTACTGCATCTTGTTGGTATGATATGGTGGGGGAATTTACTTGGGTTTTTAGTTATTTTTGGGTTATAAACACAGAAAATTGCATTTGTGAGGAAAAGAACAAAAATGTGGACGAGGTTTGAGAGACTTGAACTTTGATTGACAACAATATCTAAGTAAACGTGTGTGGTGCAAGTATTTCTATCTGGACCGCCATTCATGATCACTCAAAACTGAAAGCTTCCCCTCCCTCAACACACCACCACCACCACCCCCTTTTTACTATGTTGTCTCCTTTGTTGCCATTATTATGGGCTACAGACAAGTAGTACTCTGAAGTGAAATGGATATAAAGTACTCCATTCATGGCCTAAAAATAATACTCCCCCCATCCCAAAAAATAGTCCACATTCAATTTTCAAATTTATACTAAAAACAATACAAAACTCAAAACTTAATGTAAACTGATTTTTTTGGGACGAAAGTAGTATATATTTTGAATTGTAAATTGTACTATTTTAAATACATCCTTCTACAACTCAGCACTCGCAAACTGCTTAAGAAACATTAAAATAAGTAAATTATTAGAATATTATTAACCAACCCCATCATCAATATAAATAAATTCTTTTGCCAATGATATTATTTATTTTGGAGTTAATTTTAGCAATTTAAGACGAAAAAAGTTATTGGAATCAGAAAATCATACTTACTTCAAAAAAAAAATTATTTTGCTAAAATGGCACTTATTTTGAAATGGAAATAGTATTTACCATTTACACTGCAATAAAGGGAGCAAAAATAAGATAACATTCCGAAGCTGTCAACATTTGTAAGAGTATCCACAATGGTTTACACTATTGTGATTGTAATGTCATAAATTTTCAATAACATACTTTTATTTCACTTTTCACTATATTGGCTTACACTGTAAAAGTATAATAAAATGAAATAATTTTTGTATTATTCTAATTTCACATTAAATGCATTTTGACACCAAAAAATATATTACACGGTGTAAGAATTCTTATATTGTATAATATTATTATACTCAATACAATAACAAACAGTATAATAAAGTAGTTACTTGTTATTTGCCACCAGTATGGATGCACCATAAGATCGATCATAAAGAATTTTAAGACTGTTACATGCCGAAGCTGGATTGGCATACTCAGGTTTAAAGAATGGATGAGGATTTTGTTGGCCCCGTGCTTTTGTTTAGGAAAAAAAAAGAAAAATCGCATATCTGATGGAAAATGGCAAAATGTCCATTCATTAAAGAAAGACATACTAAAGTAATTACGTCGGGTTATTAGTCTTGATATACATAATCCCATAATTTTTCATATAACACAATACTAGTAAATATAATTAAATCAAGGTTACCTCTATCCCTTTTATGGTAAAAAAAATAACACAACCTAAAGAAATAAAATTTCTTTTTTTTTTTTCGAATAGATAGCTTTTAATTTCTTTTTTTATTCAGTTTCTCTCTCTTAATATTTTTTTTTTTTTAATTTAACTGCATCAGTTGAGTGGAGACTTTGAGATGATCTCTGCTCCCTTCATCTTTCACCTTGGAACCGAAAAATTCTCAGTCAATACTTCCATATTACACCAAAACATTTTGTATGTGACAACTTTCCTGTTATACTTCTTTTAAGTGCATTTTAAGTTGAAATAATTTGATAAATATACACTCATCCACCATTTTGTTTAAACTTCGTACTAAATAAAAATATACAGTACATATTAAAATGTGTACAATAAATTACATTAGATACAAGTAATACCAATGATCAAAATGATTAATTTTTTCATTATGCATATATGGGAGAATATTATAGTTCCATGTAATATTTTCCGGTAATATCTTTTTCTTTCCGGGGTAAAAAGTAAAACTATGATTATTTGTTTGCTTACCTAATTCAACAAGCATATCTTATGTTAGATTTAAAATATTTTCTAAAGTTTTATACTAATTACAGTACTACTGAATTTTAGTGTGCACACTTGATTTATTGTTGGTTTTCTGGTTTACACATAATCTCACACTATTCTAGCGATTCTGGTGTTCATGCTTACACGCCACAAAGTACTTCATTATCTAGCGTCACTGTCATTTATGGTACGAAATCTATGACCCTGGCTTTTTGTTTTAGTTACAGACCATACACTAATCTCAATCATCTTTAGAAGCCTTCAAAGGAATTTCAACAAGAGTCAATTAATATTTTATTGCAATTAAAAAAGCAAAAGTAAAGCAGATTCTTTTTTTTTTATTAATTTTTTTATTGATTCAACCCCAAAACCTTGTTGAGCATTGGTTTAGAATCTGTTTAGATTAATCAGTAACATCACATCATTCATCCTACAGTTTTCTGATAGTACTCTCCATTAAAAGACATCATTTTTCCAATAGGGCTCAAATTTTGAGTGGCACGAGGTTTTTGAGGATTCGTTTTCCTTAAAAACTGTCCACATTTCCGAGAGTGTGAAACATGGCTGGTTGAATGTTGACAGATTTTGGCTTCTTTAGCGAACCCACTTTGCCTGCAATCATGATTTGTTTTAAGAACCTCGAAGGTGGCTGAAAAAAGTTGTGAAGAACAAGCCCTTTTGATTTCTCTTCACTTCACTTCCCTTTGGAATTTGAAAAATGAATGAGCAATCAGGAAAAACCCCTCTTCTTCTCAGGAAAGATGATGATTTGGGCTGTCTCAAGAAAACATCTTTACTCATATCATCAGCTAAATGGATCATCAGAGCAGCAATTCTGTTGATTTTCGTAGCCTGGGCTGCTTTCATATTTCTGTTACCACTGCCTGCCGTCAATGACTTGTTTGAGAAATCGTTGAAAGCTACTGAAGGAACCGTTTTTGGAATCACAGGTTAAAAGTTGATTTTTGAGGTTTCCTTTTCATCATCAATGTAACCAAAACTCAATTTTAATCATTTTTTACAGGAAGTATTTTCTTGTTATTTAGTGCCCCAATTCTCATCATTGCATTTCTGGCAATTGCATATCTGATCATCAGTGGGGAAGAGGATCTACTTGGGTAAAGCAATTAACTTTCATGAGCTTATAGTTTCTTTGCCAATTCGAAAGATTACTTGTAAATTGAAAATTTTTATACAGAAAGAAGACATGGAAGTATCCACGTTTCAGCTTGTGGACATTCCCAGTGCTTGTGGATGGTCCATTTGGAGTTGTATCAGCTGCAGAAATGATTGGCATCGTTCTGTTTTCTCTGTACATAATCTGGGCTATTTCTATTTACACCATGAGAAATCAGGATCTCTTATCTTTGTTTCACATACCATCAAGGGAGCAAAGGTAAAACACAGTTTCCTTCAACTCGTAAGATACTCTTCAATTATTGTAACATTTTGTTAATAGGTCTTGGTCTAATTTGACAACATGACAGTGGCATATGATTTGTATACCTGAATTCACATAGTGTGTGGTAAAGGCTTAGCTGTTGTTGTTCTGCAGAAATTTTCTCAATCCTGTTACCATAATGCTTATTCAATTTCTGGGGTAATCTGTTTTATTGACTATCTTCTTTTTGTTGCAGTGCTTTGATACTGGAGCTGACAGGACTGCGGTTCGGATTCATCGGACTGATGTGCTTAGCATTTTTGTTCCTTCCAGTTTCCAGGGGATCAGTTCTTCTCAGATTCATACATATTCCTTTTGAGCATGCAACTAGGTACCATGTTTGGCTGGGCCACCTTACAATGATCCTTTTCACCCTTCATGGTCTCTTCTACGTGATTGCCTGGGCAATGGAAGGGCACCTCATACATGAAGTGAGTCATTAAACAAATCTTTACTTGCATTCTGTTAGTCTTATTACCATGAATGAAGAAAAAAAGATGAAATTTGCCTTCCTAATTCTTTGACAACTCGTGTCTCACAAGGAGAACTAAATTTGTTATTCTTATAAGGACACTGAAGCCGTTATATTCTCGTTCTGCACTGTTTGCTATCCCTGGAACTCAACTCTGCAGTCTTTTCAAACTAAGGCCTAGAGTACATAATTTCATTGACCAAAGCCTCTATCATTGACCAAGTCATTCAAGACACTGTGTCCAGAATTATTAGTTAATCATTTTAGATGGAAAAGTCAACCTTCAGATTGATAAGATTAAGCCCTACCTATAAGAGTAACTTTCCATAATAAAAAGGAAAGAAGATTAACTAAGAGTTTAAAAATATACATCAATGATAACTATCTCTGATTCTGTGATCTTGAATGTAATTGAAATTTTTTTGTTCTTTGTGAGATGTGTGTATATAGGTTGTTCAACCCTTAAATTTATAGAAGCATGAACTCTGAATACTTAATCATATACAATGAATATTTTTTGCAATTTTTTATATAGTTAAAACAGATTATTGTAATTCCAGTTATAAAAGGGGTACAAGGGTGTGTTTCTGTGTCCAATATGAGTATGTGTAACTTGTTCTGATGTTACCATTCTCTGGCAATTTATGGATATCAAAATCTAAACGTATGAGTTTCACATAGAGAGGAAACTGGATAGCATTTTGACATTGCTAATTTGATAAGTTTGTCAAACTTCAATCTCCCAGCTTACAAACTGGAAAAATGTTGGTGTTGCAAACCTTCCTGGAGTTATCAGCCTGCTAGCTGGATTGCTGATGTGGGTGACATCACTTCCTGGAGTGAGGAGAATCAATTTTGAGCTGTTCTTCTACACACATCAGCTGTATGTGGTGTTCGTGGTCTTCTTGGCATTGCATGTTGGTGATTTCATCTTCACTATGGCTGGTGCTGGAATCTTTCTTTTCATGCTTGATCGCTTCCTGAGGTTCTGCCAGTCACGAAGAACAGTTGACATCATTTCAGCCAAATCTTTCCCATGCGGAACAGTGGAATTAGTCCTCTCCAAACCTGCAAGTAATTATAGCTGTCTTCTTTTCCACAATATTAACAGCTCAGTTGATGTGATGGTTTTGGGCTAATCTGAGTCCTGTTTGAAGGAGAATTTAGAAATAGTATACCTTATTAATTTAGAACTGATTATTGTTATTTGTGTTTGTAGATTTGCATTACAATGCACTTGGTTGGGTGTTTCTCCAAGTTCGTGAGCTTTCCTGGCTGCAGTGGCATCCTTTCAGTGTCTCCTCCAGCCCCATGGATGGTAAAAATCATCTCGCAATTCTTATAAAGGTTCTTGGTGGTTGGACAGGGAAACTGAAGGAGCAAATCCTGAAAATCTGTGAGGATGGACCACAAACACAACTCTCACAGCCTCAGTTGAAAATTTCAGCCTCAGTAGAAGGGCCATATGGGCATGAATCGCCATACCACCTTACGTAAGTACTCTGTACATGATTTGAGATTCATCGTCAATCTAGACATCCTCCAGATATAGAGATGTTTCTAAGATATCCATATAACAGAAATGAAATGTGCATGGATGTCTCAGTTCAGTTAGCAAGGCTCATTTTTATGGCCATAGATTCCAGTGGCAATTGATGCATCAGTTAACTTGGCCTTTTTGGTTCCTTTAGGTATGAAAATCTCATTCTAGTAGCAGGTGGCATTGGAATCTCACCATTTTTGGCCATCTTAAGCGATGTTTTGCATCATATAAGGGAACAGAAACCTTGTCTGCCCAAAAACATTTTGATAGTTTGGGCTGTGAAGACATCAGATGAGCTCCCACTTCTGCAGACAGTGGACATGGAGTCAATCTGCCCCTTTTTCTCCGAAGCACTGAATCTTGAGATCCAAACTTATGTTACTCGACAATCAGAACCACCATTGGTACTACACACTTCACTCCCTTTCTTCCATTCGTTCCCCATTCAACATAAATTCATTACCATTTTCATTGATTTGTGGCATCTTTACCTCATATCAGGAAGAGGGAAAAGTTGATGAGCCCCCAAGTTCTGTTGTCTTCCACCATTCCAAGAGAAGCGGAATGTCTGTTTTGGTTGGTACTGGCAACATTATGTGGGCTGGGTTGTATCTTGTGTCATCTACAGTCGGCTTGATTGTTCTAGTTGGTTTACTGAACTACTTTTACATTAATCCATACAACATTACCTACTGGTGGTACAAGGGGCTTCTGTTGGTTGCATGCATGACTGCAAGTGTACTCCTGTTTGGTGGTGTAACTATTGCTTTATGGAATCTTTTGGAAAGAAGAATGTCATCTGATGAGGAACCAACCAACGACATTGTCATTGCGCCGCAGGATGCACCAGCCCTGCTGAAGAAATCTGGGCAGCAACACTATGTTAACTCGATTCAGTATGGTCAAAGACCAGATTTTGGAGGTATGTTCCCAAGCATTCCAAGAACAATACCACAAAAATATAGGGTAAACTGCTTAGATCCAATAATCCTTATAACTCCTAGAAGTTAGAGTTAGAGCAATGAAGTCATCCAACAAAATCAACCACAACCCTCTATTAAATTTTTGGTCTTTCTCTGTTCTCTGCAGGAATTTTTAGGTCCATATCAGAAAGATGGGGAAGTGTGGATGTCGGGGTGATCGTGTGCGGTCCTGCAACACTTGAGACAAGTATTGCTAGAGAATGCAGAACAAACAACTTGAAGAGAAGAAACAATCATCCTATCTTCCATTTCCATACTCACAGCTTTGACCTCTAAGTCGTCGTCGCGATAAATACACATGTATATTGCCATTGTTACCGAGAACCATGTCCTAACCGATGTTGAACTTCAGCCATCAAACTGCTTCTGGGTTCTAAATCTGCCGCCACTAATTATGTAGGTATGTATATATATGAATGTATAAGTTGTTGTTCATTCTGGACGAAACTATTTGAGTATGAAGTACTTATGTATCAAATGTAAAGTTTATTTAGGCAGTATAATATGTTACGGACCAAAAAAATGAAAAAAGGTTAAAGAAGTTGTAAACTTGTAATATCCAGGGCTTAGGTTAGAGTTTAGAATCCGATTCCAAAGTGGAAACTATGATGCAACCCTATTACGATGTGTTTCAGGAAATTTAAGTAACAATTCACCCTATTTTGATGTGGAAAAGGGAAAGGGAACTGGTTCTATAAATACAAACCAATAGAGACCTGATTTTCTACATCGATCATTCAAAACCTCTTCAAGAGCTTCTTTTCTAATAGTTCCCTGCCTCGTCAATCCATAATTTCTTCAAAATTTAACCTTTTCATCAATCTTCATCGACCAAAGTAATTGAGCCTGATGGATTCGCGCAAGATGATGGTTTTCCGAGATTGCAAGGATACCAGCGCCCATATCTGGATTCCTTTTACAAGATCGGAAACCATGCAAGTACGTTCAAGAGTTGGTATCTTTGGACGACGAACAGGATGGCAGCAAGAAGAATAATAACAACATTAGTAACACTATCAAAATTGATTGGAAAATTTTCGGGCAAAAATTCGACAATATGAAAGATCGAGGCATCTTCAAAAGAAGGAATCTTGTGCATTCGTGTGGACAAGTTCCCTAACAGGACGTACTACATTGGCAAACCTACTTCGGACCAGTGGTTCGCATTACCGAACCATAAGCCGATTGATCAGTTTCTAACCGAACAAGTTTGTTTAGTGGTCTTGAATTCCGACCCTCTAACATTTAAGAGAGTAACGCTTTCGCCAAAATGTGGGGCCAATCGCGCCACGAATTACTATGGTTCTCGATGCGATGTATTCGACTCCAGGACATGGACATGGAAGAGGGCGGGCAACGACGTAGTGTTACCGAAAAGGGGTGTTGTTTGTTCGACAGAATGAGTCCTTAGTTGTGAATGGATTGGTACACTGGCTCACCACCGATGGTCGCGCCATCGTGTTCGATCACGAACACGAGACTTACCGTAGGTTACCTATTCCTAAAGGAGTGAACAGCCTTAGAAGTTCATAGATTGAATATGAAGGCAAGCTTGGATTATTTACGACTTCAGAGAAAGAGGTGAAGCAATTGTGGGTTGTGGATGATTCAGGACATACTAATAAGTGGTGTTTGATCGAGCAACAAAACCAAGATTTCACAAGTAATGGAATCCTTGTTGATCCGGAGACTAAAGTTATGAAATTTGGTGGTTTTTGTGCTCAACATGTTTTCCCATTCACATCAAATTTCCAGCCAATCCGGCTAGAGTAAGTCAATAATTCATGTAATCGATTTCTTCCTTTGTTATTTATACAAGTAATACTACCTCCGCCCCAAAAAAATAGTTCACATTGATTTTTCAAATTTGTACTAAAAACAGTACAAAACTCAAAACTCAATGTGGACTATTTTTTTGGGACGTAAGGATTATATTTTTTGAGCCTCAAACATGTTCTGTTTTCTTCATGAATAACTAGAATACTCTACATTCATAACTTAAAAAAAAAAAAAGAATACTCTCCGTTCAAGAAGTTTAATGGTGTCAAATTATTAGGGGCAAAAAAAATTTTGTGTTTACCAAAACAACTATTTTTAAGATTACCTCAAAAAGAATTATTCAACAATTAATACAAAGAAGATTTTAAAAGAGGTGTTATAACTTCTATTATTATTCGTACATTACATCAAATTTTATGCTCATCAATCTTAGTATTCCGGTTGCTATTTAACTAAGTCAATTGTACTTATGTGTCTTCAAAATGAAACGCTAAAAGTTTTACTCCCTCCGTCCCATAATTATTGTCCAGTTTTACTAAAATAAAAGATTTTATTTTTTATCAAACTTAACGATATTTTACCTTAAACAACCGGATATATCCTTACATAAGTAATTATTTAACCACTAAAATTTTATGGATAATGTTTTTTACTAAGGACAAATGTGTAACTTGATCCATAAAAAGTCAAATTGGACAATAATTTTGGGACAAAATTTTTTGAGCGAAGTGGACAATAATTATGAGACGGAGAGAGTATTTTTTTATTCATTGCCATACATTATTTAAATATATACTACAACAATTACTGTATTTCTAAAGAATCAAACCGCGTTGAAGTGGGAGTACGTTTTAGGAAATCAAAATTTTGAGGGAAGCTGTGGAGAAAATAGGAAATACAGAAACTAAGGCGAGTAAAATACGTTTAACGGTTTAAGTACTAGTATAAAATATGGAAATTAAGAAGTTTTTGGAAATTTGGATTATCTCGACCGTCAAACGTTGGACTTTATGAAACCTTAAAAGTCACTTGGATTTCCCCAAATCCAAAATCTATTTATAGCTCCATTCGCGGGTTCATTCCCGAATTCACATCCGGCGCTCTCTCCGCTCCAATTTTCTCCCAAATTTCATCTATCTTCTCTCTCACCCCATCGACGAGAGATTCACAATATCCTCTGTTTTTCATCATCCAGCATCTAAGTGAATTGCTGGGTTAATTTCTAAGTGGCTGTTTGGTCTGAAAACTCGGGGTATTTCTCTTCTCCAGTAGTCATGGAAATTGAGACAGGAAACAGATCTCTTTTCGATTCTCCAAAAGGGCTACCACCGCGCCGCCCTTCTTACAGAATTGAAGTCTGTAAGTTTTGGCTCTCTGGCAGGTGCAACAAGAACCCATGTAGGTTCCTTCACCCGGGTTTACCAAAGCGCCAAAATAATTCGTATGATTGTCCCAGTAGGAACAAGTTCACTTACATAAGGGATGCCGCCGTCAATCAGCCTGATGGAGTCAACAATGTCAATGTTGTTGTTGGAAGTTAGAATGATCATATGAACTCCCGGGAAAAGGCCGGAACAGAGCCTGGATCTAGGCAAAAGCTGTGCCAGTATTGGGTTGAAGATAGGTGTGTTTATGGTGATAATTGCAAGTTCTTGCATTCGTGGTTTTACGGCTCTGGGTTCACCTTTTTGACGAAATTACAGAGGCATCGAAACCCGATTTCTGGAATTGCAATTCCATCCGGATCCAACAAGCTGTTTTCAGCCGGAAAGGATGGATCAGTCTGCGTTTGGGATTGCGAGGATGGCAAGTGCATTGGAGGTGTACAGCTAGAAAGTGAAATTGGATGCTTGATGAGTGAAGGTCCATTAGTGTTTGCTGGATTGCAAAACGCTGTGAAAGCCTGGAACATGGAAACAAATACTACCCTGTTCAAGTGGTCTTGTCAATGCCATGGTTCTGAATGAAGGTGTATTATTTGCTGCAATGGAAGACGGTTCTGTTTTGGCATGGAAATCAAATTCACAATCCAGCAACCCTGAAGAATTGGCAGCTCTAGAAGGCCATGATTCTGCTGTAATCTCCCTCGTTATCGGAGCAAATAGGCTCTTTTCAGGATCTACAGATCAAACAATCAGAGTTTGGGATCTTCAAACATTGGAATGTATTCAGACATTAAGAGGGCACAATGATTCAGTGACTTGCCTGATTTTTCTATTTTCCGGATCATCAGACAAGAGTTTGAAAATATGGGGAGCAACAGAGAATGGAAGCTTGGAAGTAATTCACGAGATGAAACAAGAAAGTGGAATTCATTCTCTCAATGGGATATCTGATACTACAAAAGATCAGCACATCCTGCTTTGTTCGACGGAAGACAAGATTGTTCATATCTATGATTTGCCTTCATTTGCAGAAAAGGGAAGAACATTTTCAAAAGGTCAAGTCCTCGCTGTTGAGACTGGTCCAGGAGGCCTATTTTTCACAGGTGATTCCACAGGGCAGCTATCTGTTTGGAAATTGGATTGAAATGAATCCATTCTGATAATGTATATAAAGTGGGAAGCACATTACATTAATTTGTTGTCAATGGTAAAATTGGTTTGAAGCATGTCAGTATAGCTTTGTAATGCAAGTTTATGTATATTATTTGTAAGAAAGAAATTGAAACTCAATTCTTTGTTTATGCGTACAAATTTGTATATTTCTAATGCAATAGCAGTTATTTCTCACTGCTCCCTCAAGTATTGTTTATGAGTATCTCTGATATATAAATTGTTGGATCTTCAAAACAAACAGAAAAGCAGAAACTCACAAAGTAAAAGATTGGTCCACCACAAAGCACCTGGTACGTATTAGAAAAGTTCACAATTCTATGTTAGGCTCAGTTCTATAGGTTAATAGATGCATTGTAGAAGGAGCGTACAGGCAAGTGATCAAAGCCAGCACAAGGGACAGTGTAGTAATTGGTTTGTTTTGTTACATCAATATAATGATAGCATTTTTGTCAACAACAGCAAAGAAACTAAATTTAAAAAAAATATGGGATTGTTATAAAGCTAATCATTTTAATACTTTCTTAGGATTATGAATGAATTCGCGGGTAATAAAAGGTTGTACTTTCACTCAGTTGGCCGTCCCAAACTAAAATGTTATACCTGTACAATGTATACTATTTTTTTTAGAACGAAAAGAGTATATTATATTATTAAATTGTTTAACTTATGAATCTACAATACTATAAGGGGGGTTTGGGAGGAGTTTGTGACCGGACATGCACATGTTTAGATACGGTGCCCGGTCACTATCCCACACGTGTAGAGCAGACGCTTTGTTCAGCATAACAAAACGGATCTGTTCGTCGTTTGCCGTTCTGTACTGCTTCAATTGAAAAGCGTCTTCCGTTTTGGAATGCCCAATTTTTGTGGTTACCGCCACTACATCTTCGTCTATCTATAGATTCTCAAGTTCCTGTCATCGCTGTCTTCATAATTCAAGAAATGGCAATACTCGGGTGTTGCTTGCCTATGAATGTGATAGTATCAATTGGCGACAATAGTGATAGTATGGGAATTTGCGATGAAATAATAGTGCTTTATCATAGAACTTGGGTGTTGCTTATGTGTTTCTAAAAGAGGCAAATTTAGAGGAGATTGAATTTGCTTGTGACAAAGGGAGCGATGATTCTGTGGTCTTACAAAAGGTCAATGATGATGATTCAGTGTTTGTTGGTGAAGTTATACATTCTCATATTGATGTGAAGGGTTTTGTAGAGAGTTCAGCTGTGAGCACTGATGCTTGTGATGTCTCTTTTGAGATTTCGGGTGATCATAAGGCGATTATGAATGCTGATAGTGGAATCATAAATAATGACTCTTTTAAGTTCTCTGATACTATCTGCAATTCATTTGATGGTTATTTGACTTTAAATGAGGATCAAGTTTCATTAATGTGGAAAAATTGTAGATGAGGAATCTGTGTCTACTAAGGATAAATAGAACTTGGAAGCACTGTAGGTGAAAATGGTTTGACCATTTCAGTTTATTTTCTGTTGAGCCAAATGAAATAAGAAATCCTTAAAACTCGGTACTGTAACATAAGAATGATAGGAACTATTCTACTATTTCTCATGAATGGTGGTGTTAAGATAGGAACAAGATGCAGAGTTGTAATTGCTGGCTGGATGTACCATTCCTGCCATTTGGAGATGCCAAAATTTTAACTACTTTGTTGGTCTCCAAACATGCTGCAAAAGGGTGGAGGAAAGCCCTCATATCCTGCTTTTTAATTTATAAGGAGAAAGGTTCTACAATGCAGAGACTGATTAAAAGGTTGTACAGAATTGCAATGATAACTGCAGCCTAATTAATTAGCCTGATCAAAAGTCTGTACAGGAAAAGCATTACATAAGTCATTAGCCAATGAAGAGACCAAAAACTGGTTTGGATCCTTTGGCTTTCCTCGAAGGCCACGGTAGTTTCCCCCAAACACAGAAACCTACCATTCATCTTTCAACTGCACCCAAATTTTGAGAGTATACAACCCCCATAGTATCATACTCTCTTCGTAAGTCCGTTTAGATGTTGCACGTGAATTAAGGAGATATCATTTAATAATTAATTTATGTGTTAAATATTTATTTTATTCTTCATTAATTATATTGAAATTATAAACAAAATTAAATGAAAATATATTAACATCATTTATTGAGAGTAAAGTTAAAAAAATAGTCATTAATATGTCTATAATTTGAAAAATCTCTCCAAACCTAAAATAACCTGCAAATCAGGGGCGGAGCCAAGCCCCAAAGATATGATGGGACAAAATTTTCAACACTTGTAAATTAATACGCTTGCCCCTTGTTATCTTACATTTAGGTGGAGGCAAAAACTAATATTTTGTAAAAAAAATCTAAAATCTCAGAGTTTAACTAGTAAAAAAAAAAAAATTCAGCTGGGGCAATTATCCCACCTCAGGTGTATGTACCTATGCTCCTGCTGCAAATTGAAATGGAGGGAGTATTACAATCATGGTGAAACCATTATTACCTGCTGTCCTTGAGATTTTTTCAAGCTCCACTCTTTTTTTTTTTTTTCTTTTTACAAATCCGTGTCCTTTTTTTTAAATTTTAACTTTGTTCAATAGTTAATTCTTACAAATAAACGGGTTGCAAAAAGACCACCATATATGGTGCTTAAAAAAGAAGCCGAAGCAGAAATAAAGAGATACTCCTATGTAAGAAGGAAAAAAGAAATAAAAGGAATTTCCAGATACACTAGCTAACAAAACATTGGCATATCCAATCTGGAATACATTATACATATATTTTGTATGGATGGAAACAAACGAAGCCGACAACATGGGTTGTTCGATGACCGGGGCCAGGCTTCAAAAGAGTCAGCAAGATTACGTTAGTTTATTATATTAATAATAAGAATAATACAGTATTTTGTAACAAAAGAAAAAATAATAATAATAATAATAGTATTATAATAATGAGGATGTCGTTTTAGCATTCTCACCACTGTCGGTGGAGATTGCTGACACAAAAAAGGAACCTACTGCCTAAAGCCACGCATTCCCACAATTTGATTCCATTCTACGCCTTCTTAAATCATTTTATTCCAACGCGTCACTGTTGACAGTTGTTTTTTCCTCCCACCATCGTCTTTTTAGTCAAATGGGTGTTTTTAGATGAGCACCATAACCATACATGATTTATTATTCTTAATAACAATTTGTTGTTAACTAATTATAATTTCTTTTGTTAACGATCAAGATAAAAAAAATTTAAACTTTGTTATTATAGTTTTTTTCGTATTTTAATTTTTTTACACATTACGTGGTGTTCAGCATCGACAATAATGACTAATCTCCTGTACTCATAGTATATTCATGGATGAATAGAAAACTGACCAAAGAATTTAAAGTTGTTCCATGACCGTGATTGTTATTATACTATATCTAATGAATATTTGGGCGCCTTACCCTTTTCAGACCAGATAGAGGAGATGTAATTTTGCTAAAACAAAAAAAAAAAGAAAAAAAGAAGAAGAAATGAAGTGAAAAGGAAAGTAGTTTGAAGACTTGAAGTACACTTGAAGCAATTCCTTTTCCAAGATAAAGCAAGCTCTTGGTGTCTTGTCCATCCTCCTTTTGTACTACGCACCAACCAGTAAGGGAAGTACACAGTTTACCCATCTTTGGTATCAATCAAAAATCGAAATGATATCTCATGTTTGAGGGCCATGATTTTGATGAACGGACGCCAAATGTAACTGTATGATTTATGTTGTGATCATTCCCACCATAGAGTTTGTTTGCAAATAGCTCCTTCCAAGATTTCCTGATTTTGAAAGGCATCATTATAATAATTTTCATAGTAATTGTATACATTTTTAATCAAACTTAGACACCTTTATAATTATCAAAAAAAAATTAAAATAGTACAACTAAATAGCTAGACTTCTTCTTAAAATTGTAGCAGTGACCTTATTCCTTTTTCTTTTGTTCTCCCCCCCTCTAGCAACAATTGACATACTACATAAAAAGAAATAGCTTAATTAGCCGACATTAAATAACTCAAGAACATTAATAGGAAATTCAGTACCGTTGAATACAAAAAGAACATAGTAAAATTTGATTTTTTCGGACTAGTCAAAATTAATTACTATCAGATCACAAAAATTAAGAATATCGATAGTGATAATCTACTCCCATGAATCTTTTAAGCGCTTCCATTTTAATATAAGAAAAGTTCAAGGGGTGCTTATAATAATAGCTCTTTTTAAGTATGTCTCAACCCATATTTGTCATACTTTTTTCCTCTTTTTTCTATACTTTGAGTTTCTAGAAATAACCTTAAATTAGTTTTAAAAGATGATGATGGAGTAGTTAGAAAGTTACTACCAGTAAGAAATTTTTGTGTGAAAAAAAAAGAAAGAAAAAAGATTAATTAATAGAAAGCCTCACATGAAGTGTATATATTAATGATGTCCTTAAACCAACAATAAAATACGTTGATGTTAGAAAATTAGACAGACTGTCTCTGTCTTTTAGTGGACACGTCACCATCACCCACCAAATGTATTTATTTTTTCCTTAATTTTTTTTCATAACGCTTCCTTCCATTAAACAAGTAGAAGAAATTCCACAAACACACACACTCACACAGTGGAAAAACAATAACAACCAGCTTGCATTGATAAGATTTCAGACCAGAATTCTTTCATCATCATAAATCTCAATAATACTACTATCACTACCACCTTCCCAGACCACCGCTTCATCTTCTCTACTCCTCCACAACTTCACCATTCACCCAAATTCTTCAGCATTTGTGATTTTATCAGTGAAAGGGAAATTCGGAAAAAATGAGTATGTACGGGAGGGATCCGTGGGGTGGGCCGTTGGAGATCCATGCCACGGATTCAGCCACAGATGATGATAGGAGCAGGAATTTGGGTGATTATGATCGAGCTGCACTGTCTCGGCCATTAGACGAAACCCAGCAGAGTTGGCTGCTGGGCCCTGGGGAACAGAAGAAGAAGAAGTATGTGGATCTGGGTTGTATTATTGTTAGCAGGAAGATCTTTGTTTGGACTGTTGGATCCATTCTTGCTGCTGGTTTGTTAGCTGGGTTCATCACTTTGATTGTTAAAACCGTGCCTAGGCATCACCACCATAATCCGCCGCCGGATAATTATACTCAGGCTCTGCATAAGGCTCTCATGTTCTTTAATGCCCAGCGTTGTAAGTAAACAGATTACCCCTTCTCTTCAGTTTATTTTGATTTGGGTTTGTTGGGTTTCTGGATCTGATGCAAATTTTGCGTGCTTGCGTGTATTTTCTGCTATTTCTTGAGTATGAGCTGGAGGTGGCTTGAAGCGAAAGCGTCGGTGGTTAGATTATGTTTGTTTGGTTTGGAGAATTTGGAAAATGCTAGGATCTGAACCTACTAAATAGAGATTACTGAATTATGTTGGTCTTAATGTTTGTGTCGGCAGATCAGTTTGAGTCTCACTGTAATTTTGTATTTCTATATTGGCCTTTTGTTTGGAGACCTGGTCACCTACCATCATCATCTTTCAATGATAATTGAATTCTTTTTTCAATGATGATGTTTTTTATGTCAGGTAGACTGGAGTTTGTATGTGTCGAGTTCTGAATTTGACTTGAGATGGGAATTTTAAGTAATTCTTTTGACTGGTTTAAAACTGGCATTTGACTAAAATTTTAGCTTGTAATCCTACGTTTGTAGTAATAAATAAATGAACTAGCCTAATACTTGTGTTTCCATTTGATTAAATTAGGTTTATAGTTCCACCCTTGCTAATTTTGTGTATCTCTTCTGACAGCTGGGAAATTGCCAAAGCATAATAATGTATCTTGGAGGGGGAACTCGTGTACGAATGATGGAAAATCTAATGTTGCTCCGGTTATTAAAGATCTGGTGGGCGGTTACTATGATGCTGGGGATGCGATCAAGTTCCATTTCCCTGGATCATTTGCCATGACTCTTTTAAGTTGGAGCGTGATTGAATATAGTGCAAAGTATGAAGCTGCTGGGGAGCTTGCACATGTTAAAGAGATAATTAAGTGGGGCACAGATTACTTCCTCAAGTGTTTCAATTCTACTGCTGATAGCATTGATCAACTTGCCGCACAGGTAGTTTTGCTTGGCTAATTGATGACATTGATCTTGACTCAATATATCAAACTGTTAATATTGGTAACAAATATGTGTCTCTTGTTCGCTATCACTGACACCAAGAGTACTAGGAACATTGTGAACAATGCCACAGATTTTTCTTCATCTTTTCTACCTCTCTCTCTCTCTCTCTCTCTACCTCTTTCACCCACCACATTTGGACAAACATGTATTGTTTTGTCTCTTTTGATGGCCATCATTTAGTGTATTCTGCTTTTGCAAGAACATGCTTGACGTGTTCTTTTAGTCTCTTTCTCACTAAATGTTTTTAAGTTAACTTCACTTACGAGCTTATGGAACCACCATTTATCCGATAGGTTGGTGCTGGGGATACAACCAAAGGATCAAATGAGAATGACCATTACTGTTGGATGCGCCCAGAGGACATTGATTATGACAGACCCGTGCAGATGTGCAGTAGTTGCTCAGACCTTTCAGCTGAGATGGCTGCTGCTTTGGCTTCAGCGTCCATTGTTTTTAAAGATGATAAAGCATACTCCCAAAAACTTGTCCATGGTGCTAAAACTCTCTACAAATTTTCAAGAGAGCAGCGCGGCAGATATAGTGCTGGTATGGATGCTGAGAAGTTCTATAATTCTACCATGTATTGGGATGAATTCATCTGGGGTGCATCCTGGCTTTATTATGCCACTGGAAATTCAACATATCTGACACTCGCTACCACACCTGGGCTTGCCAAGCATGCTGGAGCTTTCTGGGGAGGACCGAATTATGGTGTATTTAACTGGGACAACAAGCTTCCTGGGGCTCAGGTAGATAGCATTTTTATTTGCATCAAAGTTTATTTTTCTGGTTTGATCCATGCGTTAACATTGAGTGCTTCATTTTCTTTAAAATGTAACACGAAGTGAGGATTGCTTTTGAACGGTTCTCATTTTCTTGTTGTTACTGTTGCTGAAACCTATCTCGGATGAGCGTTTCTTTTGTGCTTATGTAGTTTTCATTTGATCTGATGGCTTCATTTCCTAAGAATGCATAAATGGGTTTTCTTAAGTAAAGTTTCCTTGTTCTTTTCTGCGACAGAACCACCATGTCTATCTGTAATGGAACTACCATGTGGTGTTTTATCATTAAAATTTACTACCCCCTTGTGAATTAACTTACCTGATCTAATTTGCTTTCTGTCTAACTTTTTGATGACCATCATCAATTTAATATTATTGCTTATAGATCTGCTCGTGTGGCATTTAGTATATTTTTCGTATGACCTACCAGTAGAGAGCATTTTCTTGATTCACCCTTTGGATCAAGTATTCAGCATAAAGAGATGTTTGGTTTCTTTTAGTGACCATGGATCTTTTGTATACATATAGGTGCTTCTGAGCCGTATGAGGTTATTTTTGAGCCCTGGGTATCCTTATGAAGAAATTCTGAGGACATTCCACAATCAGACCAGCATAGTCATGTGCTCATACTTACCATATTTCACATCTTTTAACAGAACAAGAGGTAATGTTTCATCATTTGGATTATATATGTTGAAATGTTTAAGTATCCAGAATTCGATAAAGTTTTTGCTCTCTTGCAGGAGGCCTGATCCAATTAAACCATGGAGATCCTCAACCTCTTCAGCATGCAGTTAATGCTGCTTTCCTTGCCGCCTTGTTCAGTGACTATCTTGAAGCTGCTGATACCCCTGGGTGGTATTGTGGCCCCAATTTCTACTCTACTGATGTTTTGCGAAAATTTGCCCAAACACAGGTAATCACGCTCTCATTTCATAGCAAAGCAGTAATTAAAGCTCTTGACTGTTTGATAGTTTATCCTCGGTCAGCATTTTGACATTAGAACTTGGAACGTTTGAGTTTTAACCCTCATGCTGAGCGGGAATGTGCTCATATAAACATGTGTGAGAAACACACGGAATGCTTGTGGGTGTTATATTTATAGTTCTTTGCATTATTTGTTGAGCCTAACACAGTCCTTTTCTGCTGATTTCAGATTAGTTATGTACTTGGTAAAAACCCGAGGAAGATGAGCTATCTTGTGGGATTTGGCAATCGTTATCCTAAGCATGTCCACCACAGGGGGGCATCAATTCCTAAGGGTTCCCGGCCTAGTTGTACAGGAGGATATAAATATAGGGACTCGTCAAAGCCTAATCCTAATGTACTTGTCGGAGCAATGGTTGCGGGCCCTGACAAGTTCGATGGCTTCCATGACGTTCGCACTAACTACAACTACACAGAGCCAACACTTGCCGGCAATGCTGGTCTTGTTGCTGCCTTAATTGCTCTGTCTGGGGATGGAAGCGCGAAAATTGACAAGAACACAATGTTTTCTGCTGTCCCACCAATGTTCCCTACTCCTCCTCCACCACCAGCTCCTTGGAGGCCATAAGCATGATCGTACTGAGAGACCAAATGAACCAACATTTGTTCTTCTATTCTGTGACCTGTAGATGTTCCTTTGTGTGATGCTGATGTGACAACTGAGATTCAAATACAGTGGAGATTAATGTGCAAAGATACAAAACCGAGGGACTTAACAAGAACTTTGGAAAAAAGGAAACACTAATTTACTGGCTGTGATCGAGACGATATTCTTGCCAGAATATGAAACAACCGGCAAAGGCATCATTTTTGTTCTTGGGTACTTGTGATATACACAGTATGTATGTATGTAATATGTATGAAGTCGAAAAGAAAGTATTCTTTGTAACACTAAGAAATTGAACCAGAACTGTCTGAATGTATTGAGATATTGACAGTGTCTTTATAGGTAAATTTGATCCCTTCCCCTAGAGTTAGGTTATGGTTACTGCATTTTTTGTGTTGGAAATACTTTTGTGCAATCAAAAGAACTGACTGGTTTAATCATTAATGTCCCTGCGAACCACCTTGTTTTGTTTTGCATTCCAATATCCTCAATCTTCACAATCTGCCTATCTGACTTGATTATGCATTTTGAAGAATAACATTAACATTAAGAATAACTAGTGATTCTGCATTTTGAAGAATAACATTAACATTAAGAATAACTAGTGATTTTGCATTTTGAAGAATAACATTAACATTAAGAATCACTAGTTTATACTCGTACATTGCACGGATTGACAAATTATTCTTATGACAAATTATTCTTATGCAAATATCAGGTAATAATATTTTGTAATTGTTAAACTTTTAATAGTAATGCGGTAAGAAAAACAAATAATAACATATAATGTTAGGGACACAGTGATGAAATAAATCAAAGTCGGTAAAACTAATGAACATTTATATCCTCTAGAATGCTTTGTTGAAGAACATATTTTCCGTCCAATTGCTAAATTCTCTTTCCTTATTATTTATGAGTATTTTGAGACACTGTCTGGATTTTACCTTAAAAAGTATAACATATAACTGTTAATGAGCAAAGACTGAACGTAGCAACAACAAGCCCACTTGCGAAAGTGATTAACCCTGACTTTTATTGATTGGCATAGCAAAACACTTCGCAAACAAGAACCGTCTCATGTATCCTTATGTCAGAAGGCTGGATGTCCCTATGTGGAATGCATACTTTTTTTCCAAGATATAATAGTTGCCTCAAAGACACAGACTCCTAACTCGTCAACCTGAAGAGACATATTATTACACATCCTACCTGGTCGGTCTATATTTCGAAGAAATGTGATTGATACCTTTTTTTTCAATGTCAATTTATGGCTTGGTATACTAGAATACTTTATCTTATTAAAGAATTCAAGAGTATACACCTCACATCCCTTTTACCCTATTAAAGCAGAATACAAGATGTTGATGTAGCAATTTCTTATTAAAAATTTTTGGCTCCAAATAAACCATATTGCATTAACCATTCTGCCACGTGTCATCCCTTTTTAAAAGAAAAAAATTCTTATCTGGAAAAACAAAAGCTACTTTACAAAAATAGCTACATAATTTTAATTCCTAACATTTATCATTTATCAATCAAATTAAAATAATATTTAAATTTGCCCATAAACTTATCCCATTTATTACTCCACATTCTTTTGTATGATTTCTGCATCGTTGTACTTTTCAATAATTTTTTTCCTTTGGCAGATGATTTTTTTATTTTTATTTTTATTTTTTGCTAAAAAGGAGAAAAAAACCAAATGTGTAGTTATTTTATTTTTTTCAAATCAAGAATTCATTTATCTATTAACACAAAATTAAAGTAGAAGGGCGCCCGGGCATCTGCCTGGGCCAAGCATCTAGTTTTTATTGTTAGTGGATTATTCCTTTTTGGTTAGCTAATAGATCGAGATATATAAGCGTGGCAGATTGAAGCAATTGGAGAGTACTATATCCTCGACCAAAATGTCTTTAGGGATGTCAATTTCAACTTATTCATGGTTTGGCTCTCCAAATTTTCTACCGCCGATCATGAGTAACTATCACGCAAACTCCTTTAGATCGTCAATTCAGTATCAAGATCCCCTTGTAATCTCGTGTTCTGTGTCAATCTCAAGATTGTACATTGTTCCCACATGGCGATGCATCAACTGCAGCGTCAACGATCTCTTGTTGGATTCCTTTTAGAATAACCAGCAAGATCTATTTAGAATCTCCTCCTAGAGTTGTACTAAATCGTCGAATACTTTTTCCTCACTCTTGGGATTTCGCCGACGCAATATTCTCTAAGTGTTCAATCCAACGCCTTGAAATAATATATGTGAGTCATAATGGATTCATCCAAGATAATTAACTTAGTATGTTCTAGCAGAGCACCCCAATCGATTTTCGGCATCACGTAACAAAATATAATTATATTGCACGACTGATTTTAGATATTATTGTAATAAAGGTTAAATGATATTAAATTTCCATAAAAGATTTGAAAATAAACGACCATGGGTGTTGTAGATGATAAAATTTAAAATATTCATTTTTTTTTTGTATATTACAATACTTGAATTTTATTAATTTTCCGCTAAATGTTTCGTACCGTGGCTTCAAAATTATAAATTAATATTCTATTTACATTTGTTTATTGTAGGTCTTGTTCTTTTTTTTCTTTTTTTTTTTGTTTTTCAATGTCGACATGTTTAGAGATATACATGAACATCAGAGTTATTTCCAAGTTTCAATGTCAAATTATAGTTTAATTTGCCCATACATCTTATTTGACTTGTTGAGAAATTTGATTGAGTTCATCTATTTACTCATTATTGTCATTCATTAAAATCAATTGATGTCAGAAATTAAAATAAAAAGCAGATCTACCCGCCCAATTACATTTACCAAAACAAGCAAAAAATAATAATATAAACCATTCCTGCACATTAATGAAAACCCACATTCCATAAAACAACAAAATCCAGCCATTTTAGCGTAACAAACGCATGACACACATATATAGCATTCCTGATACCTTGCTTTAAGAGTATCTACAATTATTTAAACTATTGTGAATATAATGTCATAAATTTTTAAGATTATACTTCTATTTAACTTTTCACTATATTGGTTTACTTCGTAAAAGTATTAGAAAATAAAATAGTTTTAATATTATCATTATTCACATTAATTATATTTTAACCACAAAAAGTGTTCTTACACCGTATAATATTATCACACTCAACACAATGATAAATAGAATAACAAAGTGGTTCTTTACTAGTTATTTACCACCGTTGTGGATGCTATAAGTTTTCTCTATTCCATCCACCTGCCAAAGCATTTTATAGTACCAATTAATATTCCTTCTTTCACATAATTATTGTCCACTTTGTCCAAAAAATTTTGTCCTAAAATTATTGTCCAATTTGACTTTTTATGGATCAAGTTACACATTTGTCCTTAGTAAAAAACATTATTCATTAAAATCTTTGTGCTTAAACAATTACTTATGTAGGGGTATATCCGGTTATTCAAGGTAAAATATAGTTAAGTTTGACTAAAAATAAAATCTTTCATTTTAGTAAAATTGGACAATAATTATGGGACAGAGGGAGTATGAAAAAATTCCTAGAACAAAACATACACTGCCTATGTTATTGACGTGATAAACCACAAAATTTACATAGTAAATCAATTAAAATTGGCCATAAAAATAAAAGAAAAAAAATCAAGAACAGAAAGTTTTAAGAGATGTAACGTTAACCTTTGTTTCTTATACGACACCAATCCAACCCAAACCCATTAGTAAAATACACATATGATTAATGGATTATACACATCTGTAAATTATTTAGATCTTAATTAACCTTGTTGTTGAAGCCTATGCTAAAAAGAATATTTAATTAATTAATTAAATAAAACCAAAAGCCATTATAGCTAAAATTTATAAGAGAAAAATAAATTGGTGCGGAGTCCGATTAGTATATTTAGAGAGAATTTTTATTCATTTTGAACAACAAATTTTGAAATCTTTATCGAACATTAACTTAGAAAGTAAGTTGTAAATGACGACATATTATTTATGGTTTCACGTTTGATCAAGATTTTATGCACGAAGTGTATTTATATAGGTTATTATACATTAAAAAAAATATGGGTTATTATATGTGTTAATCAATTGGTAAAATTCAACCCTTTTATTTTGGGATATAATGAATAAGAATCAGCCGTATATATATCATTGGATTCTTTACATATCATCTAATCCTGTAATTTGTGTATTCAGAAATTTTAAATTTTTCACACGTACAAATTTGATAGTATTTGTTTTCGAATTAATTTAATAGGTATCTTCATAATTAATTTCATTTGGATATGGAGATACATTATTTTCCAAAATTAACCAGACGGAAATAGTGAGTGGTGCTAAACACAATTATTTTTCATAATTGAATAGTGATTTGATGAGAATTATTACCATTATATACCTATTAATTAATCAAATCATCACCCATATCAAGTAAATGAGCATTTATATGAAAGAGAATAATTAAGAATCAATAAAAAAATTAAAAATGAAAACCAATGGAAAGATAGATTTTTTTTTTTCATTATTTAGGTAGTTAATGCACACACACACATATGTATATGGAATGTAATAAAGATGAGTAAAATGAATGGGAGATAAGTAAAATTAAAGTAACCAATTTACATAAAAGTTTAACGGTTTAATGAAAGAATGTCTCTTTGGCTGACACGTGGCAAAAAAAGCCTCTGACAGTGACAAGTGACAAAGATGTTATTAGAATATGTTATTGTATGACATGTTGTGATTGAAAACCTTCCGTTAATAAATAACTAGTGTTTACCCCGCATGGTGTGCATATTATTCAAGATATATTTGACATCTCCGACAGAATGATATTTGTAAAAAAAATAATATTAATGATATGAATTGTAGTAGTGTAATTTTTAATGTGAATGTGTTTTGTTATGTAAGTATATTTGAATAATTTTTAATATAAATAATAATCCAATATACTTATTGTTTATTTTTTTCATTTTGTTGATATGGATTTATATGTTTTAAAAGTATTCTTTTAATTTTCATAATAATCTCTCCAAATATTTTTAGCCATGTCATATCTTTTTGTATAAGATCTCCTACACTGTAATCCTACAGTATTTCCTATATTGCTCATTAAGATTTCGACACATGGTTCCAACAGGCTGCAATGGTGAATTAGGGTGCTAGTATAATTTTCAAAAATTGAAGAACGTAATTATTGAATTAAAAAATGGGATGAATTGTGAATGGTGGTTTAGGAAGTCAGAACATTTTCTTGTTACTTTTTTTTTCATAAATTTATTTGTATTTTTAATATCTCTATATACCTTTTATAACCTTTCTTTAGAAGTTTGTTAGTATATATTTCATATTATAGTGTTTGCTTCATTTTTTCTTACTTCACAGCAATCTCAGTAGTTACACAGAATCTATAAAAAAACAAAAAAACCACGTCTCTCCCATATGGGACTCGCTCATAATTGGATTAATATAATCAACATGCTTGGATCGCATGTATTTGTAGGGAAAAAGTTTGGCCGATTAGGGTTTATACAATATAATATATTATTATATTACTTAAAATTTATTCCATTAAAAATTTGGGCGATTAACATATAATTATATTATTAGTATTATTACTATTCTACTCTTTTTTTCTGTAATTTTTACACAATATAATCAACTGTAATCATTTTTTTTTATTTTTTATATTTTATCAGTAAAGAGTGAAAGGGACAGTGTTACTTTGTACAACTCTTTAATGTGAAAACATGACATCAAATTTTCAAATGAAACATAAAAATAATATTAATTTGGCTGGTTTTTAACCCCGCCAATTTGGATTAATCTTTTTTTTCTTTATGGAAAAGATTTCAACTTGTTTTTCTATTCTTCATAGTTTTGATAATGATTTCACCTACTCTAAAAATATTGTATTAAAAATAACGCAATCAACTAAGCAAAAAATTGATTTGAGTAGAAAATAAAAAATAAAAAATGAAAAAGATATCCAATGTTAATTAATTAAGCATACTCCATTGTTTTCTATTCATAAGAGAGGCTTTTGAAAATCGTTTCTAACTAATTTAGTTAACGTGGCCTTTGCTTTTCGGTGTTATTGTTGTTTTATTTTTATTCTCATCTTTTTATAATTCAAATCCTATGAAAATTTTTCATTAATTCCTTGCATCACAGGTCATGACATACCGAACTATATATTTGCGTAAATGTATATAACTTATAAAATCGGGAGGTAGAAATTGAAAAATCATTTTTTTTAAAAAAAAATTCATAAATAAAAAATAAATGGTGGTCAAATTTGGTGTATAAAAGTTAATGGTGAGATGGTGTGGAATTAGACAATACTTTGGTGGTCAAAAGTGAATTTTATTTTTCAGTTAACAACAAAAAGATTAAACCAAGTAAAATTGGTTTATAAATTTTACGAATTTATAAATGAAAAATTATCATTAAATGATGGAGTGATAGCGGGTACGACATGTGGACTTGGTTGTCTAATTTTACGTCACGTAGATTAGTTTATCTAATATGACACCATGTGTACGATTGAAAACTATACTTTGATAATATATTAAAGATATAGACACATATATGCCTAAATATCAAGAATAACAAATTCAAATGAGCTAAAGATTAATAGAGGACTGAGAAAAATGTGATAATGAAATTGAAAATTAATAATCCATCCTCCCCAAACAAAAAATGTTGTTTACTGAACTCTTGAACCTAATTTTTAAACGTAGAAGTCCTGATTCATACTAATTCTAAAAAATTTAATAAAAGAATTTCAGTTCAAATTTATGAAAGCACAAGTACACCTAAGAATAAAATTACAAATTAAAATACTGCAATAAGTAGGAAGAGAAAAAAAAAAAAATAAAAAAAAGTAAAAACTACTCTTTTTCACCCTCAGAAATTCGAAATTACCGCGAGGTAATATATTTTGAAGAATAATAACACCCCCCAAAATTTCTCTCCCTCCAAAGTCGCCCTCAAGGTCCGCAACTCCACTGCCGCACCGCCGTGAGCTGCTCTTCCATACTCTCGGCTGATTCACCCTCTCCCCATTGATACTGAAATCTGAAGCTCGAGAAAACCTACTTGAGCAGATGCTTTCTTGAATCCCGAATCAGAAGGCTCTCTTAATACACTGTAATAGCACGACGACTTTAAGAGCAGCGGTAACAGAAAGGAATATGGAGTCAAGGGTAGCAGGAATGGAGGTTCCAATATTGGCCAGCGATTCCATAAAGTGGTTTCAAGTTTCAGTCCCTTCTACTTCGTCTTCATCTTCCTCCGCTTCCAATTCTGCTTCCGCGGCCACCGCTGCTACTAGAGACTGTGCCTCCTGTTGTGTTGTTGGAAACCCTCCCACGTATCTCATTTGGTAATTTCTTTTACTCCGAATTTGTAAGTTTTTTTTTTTTTTTTGGTATGGAGTGGCAGCTGTAACCATCTCCTTCATTTAGTTTGAACGAAGGTTTTTTCTCATGTTTTATTTTGATTTTAGGTTTCTTGCTTCATGTTTTGAATGTTACTTTCAAGTGTTTATTTAGGGCAATGCCAACTGTTGCTGTTGGTTTTTAGGTGTTCAATGCCTCTTAGTTACTTATCTATGAAGGTTTTATATCTCAGGAATGTGGTCAAAACATTAATGGTTCTTAAGAATCATGAAGAGGCTGTTTTGCTTATTAATTCACGAGGATAACCAATTTTTACGAATTCCGCTTTGTGAAATAAATATTGTCAAGCCTTTTCAGCTCCTTCTTCTATCTGTTATCCCTTAAGAACGAGCTGATAAGTGTGAATAAATTTTTCTTTTTCGGCAGGAAAATATCCCAAACTCAGTCGGATATTCTTGAAGTATTAGAGGTTGTTGGTAATGAAGAATTTCCAAAGTTTGGACTGCGGATTCAATTCCCTGATGCTCTTTTCCCCTTCGCTCATATAGAAAAGGATAAGGTAGCGATTTATATATCTTTGCATTTTATGGACAGTTATATGAAGTTTTCCATTTTGAATACTTAAGACATTCAGTTTTGGACTTCAGAATTAACATCTGGTTCACATTCTTTGCAGAGTTATGGTTCCCAGAACTCTTACTTGCTTACTGCAGTTACAGTTCGTGGTTTGGCCTTCCTAGTGAAACTCAAAAGTGTTCATAATTATGCATCTTGTTCGATGTTAACATCTAGGGATGTATTTGAGTACAACATGCAGAGCAACCCACAATGTGGAGAAATTACAGCGGTGACTACATTTTCTGGATCTCTGCTAGTTGGGAGAAGTGATGGATCCATTTGCGGTTATCAGCTTTGCTTCCTTGATCCCAATGCCCCAGGTAAATTGTTATCCTTTTCTGTCTTTCTTTAGTTCTTTGTGTTGATGCTGAACAGAATGGCAATAATTGAGAGAATTTCCTGCATATTTCTTTTTTTGTGTATTATTTGTTGCAATTCAATCTTCAATTGGTGATTTTTTGAGACTGATTTACTTTTCTCCTTAAATATTGGCATCCTTATATTCGATGTGTTTAGGCTTCATGTGGGAGCTGCGGGATGATGTATTTGGACGACTGTGGGATATAATGTCAAGGTGAAATCTTATCCTCTCTACAGTCTTCTTGGACACTACTACCTAATTCTCTAGCTTTTCTCTGGGTAGTATTGAGTATTACCCATAGGATCTTAAAGTTGTTCTTTTGGATTTTGTGAAAATGAGGCTATGGTAATTTACCTTATCGAGTGAATGAATTTGTCACAACGGATAGTACCTATCATATTGCAATTTCTTTATGAGAACACGTCTTTCTAGTGCTTGCTAGTATCTACCATATTTTTTTTGGGATTAGAGAAAGAAGCTGGGTATGTTGTTGTTGTTTTTGTTGTTGTATTCGGGAAAGAAGCTGGAGGCTCATACAAGCCCATTGAGTTCTATTCTTAGATCCATTTAGGATTCTCATTTCTTGGGCTACTGTAATGCATGGTGGCTCTGAAAAGAACCTGTTTCTTTCCGTAAATCGATTTTGCATGATTAGTTCTGCTGCTGTAGTACATTGAAATGAATTTTGTCACAACATTGATTGTAGGCCGCTGATAAGTAAACTGGTGATCTTTCTTCCTTTAGACCGTAAGCACATATGACATTTTGTTTTTGTTTGGACTGTTGGCAATTACATGAGTGAGCATTCTCTGTTACTTCTTCTACAGATGCCGATTTTTCTTTTTCTTTTTTCCTATCGCAATTAGTTTATTTAGAATTCAAATATACGTACTCAGATGAAGTTTTACTAAAACATTTTCAAATATTTTTCAGGAACACGATAACAGCAGCTGTGCAGGATATGACGGTATCTGTAGTGCACCGGGAAAAGCTACTTTTTGTTCTTCATACTGATGGAGCCTTCTGTGTGTGGGACTTTGGATATCATCGCAAAGTTTTTACTCACTCTTTCATGGGAGGCAAGCTTATTTTCTAAGGCTGGTGTGACTATGCCATATAATATGTGTTGGTTATTTCGACACACCCTTTGATGTGCATTTATATGAATTGAAACATGTAGTCCTGTTAATTGTCTTCTGATTAGACCTTTAGATTAAAGTTGGTGATGTCCTCAGATGTAATTTCTAGTACTAGAAGCTAGTTGCTATCGGTAAATCTCATATTCAAAAGGTTATATTCATTAAAAAAAGCTTGAAAATATTCTCATCTGAAATAAGAACTAGTGGTAAGCTCTTCCGGAGGGATAAGAAATTCTTTTTTGTTGCTTTATCATTTTGATTATAGGCCTCGCCATATCACCCATTTGATTGAATACGAGCCTGAATAAACTCCATTAGTGGTCTTATGAGAAACCAAGACTAAAGGTGGATTGAATTCTATAATCAGGACTGACATAGTTTTGTTCTCTTGTACTGAAGTTTTAAATATTTTTTATCCTTTTTCATTTTCCCTTAATAGCTTGTAAAAGCTCCCTTATTTCTCTGGAATAATTTGCTCATGTGAATTTATAATTACATTTTTCTTTCAGGATCTATGTTCCTTAAGCTATGTGTGGGTGAAACTAACATGGTGAACAGTATGATTCCTTTCGCAGTTCTGCATAAAAGTAATATGGTATGTAATTTTGAACAAGTTGACATGTCGTTTTGTTTATCTTTGTAGGCTTGTCTTTATTTTCATTCAGTGCAGCTATGGTACATGTACCACCCTGTTCTTGGTCTTCAAGCATGATATTTGTATGCTTGCATATGATCTTGAAGTTAGGACTAAGATAATTTTCCCCGTTTACCAAATGATGTTTCAGTCAGCGTTTAGTTTTAGGGTACTTTTCTCTCTGTATGATCTTTAAAAAGCTTCAAATACTGAACTTCTTTGTGTCTGCTGCTGAAATTGCGGGATTGTCTTTTGGTTTAACCTTAACTTCCCATTATAGACATTAATACATAATTATTGATGGGATGTCCATTATTGCAATATTGCTTGCTACAATGTGTGCCAGTCACCCAGGTTTGATGTTGCTGCTTATTCTGAGAATTTATCTAGACGTGTAACTCAATCTGTTTTAAACACTTGTTTGCAAAATTAGGACTGATTATACTTCAGTTCTAACAAATTCTCTTGAAGAGATCTTCCAGTTGAAGGCATGATCTATTTGAATGTCATTAGTCATTTTGCATGTTGGTTGATGGCTATTGTTGGTTGAATGGCTTGCAGAGATTTGTCATTCTTTTGATTGTTTGATTGACCTACTGTGGATTGCCGACCATCTATTGCCTTTGTTTCTTATGCCTGAACCACATATGAAATTGTGAGAATTTCATGTATTATTATCAAAATGGATCACGAGGAACACTTTAACAATGTTTTCTTTTCTTGCCTTTTACTGATTGTCCAGGATGTCGAAGTGATATCTTTATATGGCATGCATTTGGGTTTTCGGAAGAAGATGATGACATTGACATTGCGCTCCTTAACTGCGGGATTTTCCTTGGAAGGGGTAATGATATTACCTCTGTTTATTACCTCCCTTTTTTGTGATTATGAACCTTTTATTCCAATTGCTTAATCATTTGTGTTTAATCAGAGTGGACCTGTGGACATCAAACTTACTTCAGACAGAGTTTGGATACTACAAGACGATAGATTAACAGTGCAGGGGCTCTTTGGTAAAGAGTAAGTGGTTTTTGTAATGTTTGGTATTGATTACGCTCTGAAGTGATATTCAGTTGCCAATATAATTATTGGTCTTTTCACAAAACATCTAGATTTGGTCTTCCAATTATATTTTGTGTTCTGCCTAACATTTAAACTTCTACTATGTTAGGGCAGTGACACGGTCATATGAATTGCAGCAAGCGCTTGTGGCTGATCAGCTGTTTCAAAGTTCTGAACATTCTGCAGATGACATACTTTGGCTTTCCCATACAGTTCTTCCTTCTTCAAAGGTTCTTAATCTGGAGATTTATTTCCCATTTGATTGATATGTGACACTAGTTCAGATAATTATTTGTTCGTTTTATTTACGAATTTGTAAAATATTTTATATGTCCTAGTGCCTAGATTCGTTTGACATATTTGTAATTGTACACATACCTCAGAAGGCAAGACATGCGTTGGTGGAAAATTAACAGATGCATATGCTGCGTTCTCTTGTTGAGTGCAGCTACAAAATCACAGAAAGGGTGAATTAAGTTTGAATTTTTTTTTGGTACTTCGAGTTGTCTTCTGAATAGTCTGGTAAATCATGTGACATGGTGTTGTCCATGATAGTTTCTCACATTCTTGTCTTAATGCTTTGTCTGTGAATTGTAGGAACTATTAGTTGGGTTTCAGTTCCGCTTTTGATTTTTTACTTCATTGCTTTTGATTGTGGCCTCATGTTTTTGTACGGAAGCTCTTTGTATTTGTAACCATGAGAATTATCCCATTTTTGGTTGTGGTGGAGGTTTTTGCTAAATAATTACTAGTATCTGTAATTTTGTTTGCCCTTGTACTTGTGTGTACAATCTGGTTTCGTGCATTCCATGATATTCTTCTACCAGGATATGTAACCCATAGCCTTTTAGGGGTTGAGGTAGTCTGACTCAATTGATGTGAGGTCATGTGGCGTGTAGAGAGTAGACCTATGTCCTCTTTTTTTTTTTGTGTGTGTGTCAGAAGAGGAGCACTTTTCTTCTTGTTCGGAGGGAAAGAAACTATGAGCATACGGAATACTTTTCATATCACAAATTCAAAATACCAGTATAGAAATATGAAAGACAAATAGTGAAATACTTCCGATTTTTTAGACTCAAATGCAAAATATGATCTTGCATAATTTGACTGCTTTGTTCTAATTACTTAGATTACAGCATGTTTACCTTTTCTTTCAGCTATTAGTGAATTTGAACCATCATGTTTCATTAGCCTGTCATTTGCACTGTGACGGCAATTCGTTCATAATTGTTTGCTTTACTTGCAGGATCAAATTTTCCCACTTGTTTCTTCCATTTTCTTGCATAGGCTACTTCTTCCTGGGGTGTATCATAGCTCAGTGCTCCGCATAACGTTGCAGTATTACAACAAGCACTTCACTGATTCTGAGTTTGCCTCCTTTACTGTGGATGGACTTAAAAATGAAATCGTGTCAGTTATTGAGCACGAGGTTGCCTTTCTTTTCAATAATATTAAACAACACCCCCTCTCATGCTGTTGTCAGAGTTGTCAAAACTTTTAGAAAGCTAATAATGGTTCATTTGTGTTAGGGTGGTTCTGATAATCTGGTCTCATTTCTACGATGCTGGATGGCATTTTGTGCTCACTATTGCAGTAATTGGCGCAAAACAAATGCAGTTTGTGGTTTATTTGTTGATTCATCCACTGGAGCTACTTGTTTGATCAGAAAGAATATGTTCTCGATTTGCCGAATGTTTGAGGATATTGAGCTTTTAGTTTATGGTAATTTAAATTTTTCTAATCATAGTGCTCATTTCATTGACGATCGTAGCAGTTAGTCTTGTTCGGAAATTTTCTTGTTAAGTTTCGCATTTAAAAGCTTTTTCTGTTTGGCTGGTTGTCAGGTTCTTTTGATGACAATGGATATAATTCTTCTGGGGGGGTATTCTCTCGCGATGCAGTTGAAAGAGAGACCTTTTCTAAGTTACTCTGGTGTATTACTAAAGTCAGTCAGCAGTTGGGCAAAGCGGCATCAGCTCTATTTTATGAGTCCCTTAGAAGCACCCCAACTATATCATCTGAAGAGATTCTTCCTCAATTTGTGAAGGTTTTAGAAAAGGGCTATAATTCAACAATATTAGCATATCATGTATCAGAAATAGGAGCTGATGTTGCATGGGAGCAAAAAGTGTCTCATCACAAGAATTTGAGGACATTTTCTGCAGATATGTTTATCTCTCTTCAGGAATTATGTAGTAGAGCAAGTTCATGGGGCAAAGTTTTGGATGTCATCCAGAACTACTTGAGGTTTTTAGTACCTCGTAAAGCGGAACACAAGTCGGATTATCACGCAATTTTCAACCTCAAGGTTTCGATTACAGTGGAGGCTACTTTCCAAGTGGCTAAGATCATGTTTGAATCTGCATTAGATCTACTTTTGCTGCTAAGCTACGTGGTGAACATAAGTGGGCAGGTACACAAATATTTACATTGCTGAGATACTTATCTCAGTTGCAAAAGCACCATACTTATTTTCAAAGAGTTGAACTGTCTTCAAATGGAAAAGAATTTATTGAGTTAGTGTTACTTTTGTATATCATCAATTGGTAAGCCATCTGTTGGTGTTTGTGTTGATGCATGGCGAGCCAACTAGTAGATACCTTTTTTTTTTTTAGCCACCTTGTAGATGCTTCCAGGGACATATGTTTGTCACCTGTTCTGTTTTGGTTTTTTCATGTTGTGGAAACTCTTGGATCTGTATTATTGCAAGGCAGAATCCTGATACATCATTTCACAGGAGAATTAAGCAGATTCTGTTGACTTCTGCAGATCCAAATGCCACATGATGATGTTTCGAGAATAAAACTTGAGCTTATACCTATGATCCAAGAAATTATTGCTGAGTGGCACATTGTTCACTTTCTTGCCACCACGCCCACTGAGTCTCCTGCTTTGGAAGATTTTAGTTCTCAACTTTCATCCTTGCATATTGGTATGGTGTTCACCTTTTGTTGCTTCAACAAAAGCATCTTTTCTTTTGCTGGAAAGAACTTTTTCCCCCCTACATCATACTGACTGGTATTATGGGTTGATATTACCCTTGTATTACGTTGTTATCAATTTAAATTTTTGTTACTAGGTATCCAAAACATGCTATTTCTGATAATAAAGAAATTATCAACATTGTGCAATGATAGCAATGGATTTCTTGGTTTTTCGCCTGTAGAGGAATAACTGGATAACTATTGTTCGTCCTTTCTTTATGATCAGATAACAGCATTGATAGGATGTCCTTGAATGAGAAGCTTGGGAAATGCAATTTTACGTTGGCGCATATCTTGTTACTTAGCCTCCGTAGTTGTTCTGGAAATCAGACGAACTTCTCTTCCAGGCAGCTTCCAGATTGTTGCAGTATACGTAATTACGTGAGGGAGTTTGCTAGTTGGATAATTTGGGGAAAAACAGGAGAAGAATCTTCCTTTTTCTTAATCCACTCAATTGAACTTGCTTTCATCTTCCTCAGACATGGCCAGTACAGTGCACTTGAGGTTTGCCCCTACTTACTGAAATCAAATGTGATTACCTAGTATTGGTCAGGTGTGATGCTTAGGTGTGTTGTGAGATTTATGTTTTCGTTTTATTCAGTATCTTCTCATGTTGGTGGACTCGTACTCTCGGAATCAGAGAATTTGTGGAAGTCTTCAGACAGCTGAAGGGGAATGGCCAACAATTCTGCACCTTCTAGGTTGCTGCCTTATCCATCAGACCCAATGTGGATTACGCAGAACTCTGAAGGAAAGAAAAGTTTCTGAAGCTGTCCGCTGCTTTTATAGGTATGTGTTATCTCTACAAAGGTATTAATATTTTTTGTAAAAAAGCTGTATCTGATGCCTTTACCTGTTAAAGGGCTTCTTTTTTTGTATTAGAATTTTGTTACTACTTGCAAGAACATGGAACAGGTGTATAAGAGAATTTTCATGTTGCTGTTTGCAAATAAACAAATGCTGCAACTTTGCTGTAATGTTAATCAATTTATGTTGGTGTCAGAAATTTTAGACGATTTGTAGTTCTGGTATTTTTTTCCTTTGTTCTTTTACCATTGTGTTTTATATTTTCAGCTTGAGAGCCCTGCAAGTTGTTCTCATATGGCAAGATAACTAACTTTTAGTGAAATATTTTATAGCACATACATGTCTTGAGCTAAATTGGCTGGTTTAATAATTTAGAATGTGTCTTACGTAGCATGTGGTCTGTAGTGCACTTGTCTTCAGAAGTTGTATGGATATTCTAATCTTTCCCCCCTTTTAATGTGTTTAGAGCTGCATCAATGCAAGGAGCTCCTGAAGCTCTGGTAAGGTTGTCTCGGGAAGCAGGATCAGCTTGTCTTGGCTTCGATACAGGTTCACTTTGGAGTTGTTTAATAATTTAGAATGATAATTTGTTATGTTAATGTAGCTCCAGTAACCACTTTTATCCTTGTCTTTCAGCTGTTTGCTGCTCAGATGCATCATGGAAACTTCACTATTATCAATGGGTTATGCAGATCTTTGAACAATATAATCTTAATGAGGCTGCCTGTACTTTTGCTCTTGCTGCTCTTGAGCAAGTTGATGAAGCTCTTTCCCACAAGGATGGCGGCTCCAAGTCAGATCTTTCTGATGAATCAACTACCGTCGTTAAGGGACGACTTTGGGCAAACGTCTTTAAGTTTACGTTAGATCTGGAGCTTTATCATGAAGCCTATTGTGCTATCATTTCAAATCCTGATGAGGAGAGCAAGAATATTTGTCTGAGACGTTTCATTATTGTTCTTTTGGAGCGTGGCGCAGTTCAGGTGCTGCTCTTTTTAATTTGTGCCATGTGTGCTTTTTTTGGATTTGCTGCTCTTGTTTTCATATAATTTGCCCGACTGCCGTTGGTTCTCTGGTGGCTGATTAGCTGAATGCAAGTACTTAGGTAAAAAGGCAGTTACACTGATGTAAGAAAGCTAAAGAAACTATGTAACTTAATTGTTTAGGGCCAGTTGATTTTACTCTCATTGATGTTTTGTGGAATAGTAGACATAGCTGATTGAAAGTTTGAATATGTTCTTGCCCTTTTAATATGACTGCGATCTCCTTTGATCATTTGCATATGTTTAGTTCTTTGCTTTCGTGCAGCTTTTTTATTGCTGTTATTCTATTGGTATTGTACCACATTTTCTCTGATGATGCATCAAAGCTGAGCTTGTCATATTGAAATGGGCATTTTTTTATATGTTTATTTTCTCTTCTAGGTTCTTTGTGATGGCCAGCTTCCATTTATTGGCCTAGCAGATAAAGTTGAACAAGAGCTTGTTTGGAAGGTTTGTCCTGATAACTTGATACTTGAAAGTAAAGGGATTTTTTTTGCACTTTTTTTCCCTCCTTTTTCTTTTTCTTCTCTTCCCTTTTTTTTCCAAGATTTCTCTTGTTGGGTGCATGGGTAAGTTGTTTTTGACCGATGTGTAGGCAGCTCGTTCGGATGTTATGACAAAGCCAAACCCTTTCAAGTTGGTCTATGCTTTTGAAGTCCACAGGCACAACTGGCGAAAGGCAGCACAGTTCATTTATCTGTATGCCACACAGCTTAAAACTGAAGCTGCAATGAAAGATTATCATCGAAGGTCCGGAGCTCTGCAAGAGAGGCTTAATGGGCTATCTGCTGCTATTAATGCTTTACAACTTGTACATCCTGCTTATGCTTGGGTTGACCCTCCGATTGAGGAACTAACTTGTGAAAATGAACAGTATCCGAGTAAAAAGGCCAGAATACATATGGAAGAACCAGGTAACACGTCATTTGAATGATTCCCTTCTTATGCTACAATAAACTTTGAAATGCATTTGGAGTTGGTGTCCAGGTTATTTGACTTTTTCTTGTTATCAAAAGTTTGTTGCATCTATTAAGTGACATTGGGCTGCCTCTTATATCATTTTTTCTTTTATGTTTCTGAACAAAGATCCTGCTGTTGGGCCGCGGAATCTTCAGTCGTATTTTGGAATTGAGGAACTTGAGAATGAGTATGTTTTGGCTTCAGCTGAGTGTTTGCTCTCTCTATCTAATGTCAAATGGACTTCAACTGGTAAGCTTTCTGTTATGCCTTAAAGGTGGTTCTGTAGGTGCAACATTTTTCCCTGCTATTGCCTGTTTAAATTCAAATTTCTTTCTATTTATTCTAAAGCTCTTTTAGTCTGTCCATTGTGTTTATTGCTCATGCATCAGCCTACAATTCATCTGCTCAAATGCTGCTTGTATTTGAGTACATGTACTTATTTGCAAAATGAGATGTGATCAGACTGGCTAAAGCCATCTTTTGTTGCTTGCTCTTAATTTTTCTCCTGGAGAGTATGTATGCATTTCGTTTTGGTTGTTTATTCTGTTTTTCGTTTAATTTGCAGGTAACAAGAAACCTTCAGCAGCCTTGGTTGACCTGTTGGTTGAGTCAAATTTGTATGATATGGCCTTTACGGTGATTCTGAAATTTTGGAAGGATTCGGGACTAAAGAGGTGCATTTTTTTGGTTTCAATCGCCCTTATTCGAAAAATCATGAGGTTTCATACAACTTGAGTATCTTATTAGTGGAATGCTGTATGATTTTTCTTAGGGAGTTAGAAAGAGTTTTTGCTGCAATGTCATTGAAATGCTGCCCTCATGGAGTAGCCCCCTCTGGGTAAGGATGTTAGACTGAATTTATTTTCCTGGAGATAACTGAATTTTTTTGTGGCGCCTACTAGTGGTTTATTCTAATGTCGTCTGTGATTTCTTCTCAGGAATCATAGGATGCAAAATTTTCTGTTGACTTCATCACAAGATGAGCCATGTTTAACTGAGGAGGGACCTTCAGCACCGCAATTTAAGGGCAACAGTCAGTGGGAAATGCTTGAAATCTATCTTGTCCGTATATATTTCTTTCTCAGCTCTCGCCTGGTTATCATCTTATAGCTTCATTGTCGAAATGACCAAACATTTAATGAGTTGTGGAATATCCTTTTGTATATTCCCTTTGTCTTTGATAACAAAACTGATTTTATCTGTCTACTTAAATTGTACCTGTGAATCCTCTTATTCTGCCTTGTCTTCATATAAGTGCTTTTTTCTGATAGTATAAGATATTGGGGTTTTACACTCAACTACAGGAGGATAGAAATAAATGGTAGGGATATGTTGGTCAGGAATCAGAGGCTCACCTTTTTGTTGACCGAACATCAACCAATTGCCGTCGTTGAGTTCCCATTGGTATTAAGTATTTTTCAGGATTATTGAATATTAAGATACATAAATGATAGCAGTTCCCTGATAAAATAAACTTGGAAAGTGATGAGTTCTTTGCGTTTATTTATAAGTTTAAGATTGGCTCTTTATCTGTACTTCATATGATACATTTGTATACTTTATTTGGTACATAAAATGATGCTTTATCTTCTGTCTCTAATCAGGAAAAGTATAAAGGATATCATCCAAGATTACCCATAGTGGTCGCTGAAACTCTTCTTGCCTGTGATCCACAAATAGTTTTGCCTCTTTGGTTGGTTCAATTTTTTAAGGTAATACTTATAGTTTACTGATTGATGAACCTTTCTAATCAACAGCTGTACATATATTAGTGGGGTTCTATTGCTATGGATTTAAGCAAATATTACTTAGCTGATCACAATCTCATTGAACACTACTTCCAGTTTAGAAATGAAAAGCCTTGAGATTTTTTGAGAATACATGTTAAAGAGTTCTGAATGTTGACCCCTAAAGACTTTCCACATTTAACTGAGTGTTTATGATTCTTTTGAGCACGTGCACGAGCTTAACATAGTAACCATGGGGAATGCATGGTTACATTGCAATGGTCGAATGTGGCTGTGGTTCAAAGAATCCAATTGACTCTACATTGTTGATTACTGGACTAAAATTGAGAAACATCTATTTTTCTTCTTGCTTATCATTGAAATCAGTAGTTTTTCAATGTTTTGGAATCTTTTAATCCTGATAAAATGCATCTCTCTCTCTCTCTCTCTCTCTCTCTCTCTCTCTCTCTCTCTCTCTCTCTCTCTCAGGTTACAAGGCAGGAAAGTGGTTTTGGAATGTCGGGAAGTGAAAGTAACCCTGCATCCTTGTTTCGATTATATGTGGATCACGGCCGATATGTAGAAGCTACTAATCTGCTTCTTGAATATATTGAATCTTTCTCAGCATTGGTAAGTTTTATCCTCTTTTCTTTTAACAAAGTCGAGCCTCAAACATCATGTAGTTGTTTCGATTTACTTGTTGAAGGCTTTTACCTTTTTTTCATTTTTTATTTTTTCTTTGAAACAAAAAACCCTTTTTTTTTTTTTAAACAAAAAACCCTTATGAGATCTGTTATACCTGTTAATTTAAGGATGTACTTCGAAGGGTTTTTAGTTACTATACATGAGGGAGTATTCTTATGAATGAGTTTAACATAGTAACCATGGGGAATGCATGGTTACTATGATCAACTGGCAAGATAAGTTTCCGAATGTTATATAAGACTTTTAGCTTATGAAAAGGAAAAAGCATCAACATTCTGGCAAGTCCTTTGTCTCGAAAGTACCAATATCACTGGTAATAATCTTTAGAAAAAGTTTCATCTTGCAATGTAATAATATCACCAACTGGATTTCGATTGTAGTATGACTTTAATTTTGTTCTGTTGCATCCAATTCTGACATGAAAATTATATTGATTGGGGAAAATAAGAACAGAAATAAGCGATTCTAAATATATTCAGATCCTCTTTAACCCAGCTCTTTTGTATGTGCATCATCGATTTGGATATATTCATGATTTGAAATCTACCTTTGAGGACATACCAGTTTCTTAGTAACTGTCCATGACAGCTACAACTGCATTGAAATGTTTTGGTCGTTCTTATTCACTTATGTATTAAGCTCTGGAGTTATTTGTACTGTCTATTTTAGCATTTATTTGGTTCCTTTATAATGAACCTCTCAATTTAGTAGCTGAAGCCAAAACTATATTGTTTGCAGAGACCAAGTGATGTCATTCGGCGTAAAAGACAAAGCTCAGTTTGGTTTCCATACACTCATATTGAGCGGTTATGGTGCCAACTTGAGGAGTCTATTAGGTTGGGTCATATGGTTGATCAGAGTGAGAAGCTAAAACGGTTGTTGCAGGGAGCTCTGCTGAAGCATCTTAACCTAGTATGTTTTGTAATTTTCCAACGTGTTTCTTCGAAAGTGAAAAGCACCTTCGCTACGTGTTTAATATTCTTATAACCTTGGTATTTTTCAGGTGAGGATTGACTCTGAGGATGTGCAGTCTTCCACGACACGGTAAGAATGCCAATATCTGTCACAGCATCTTTACAGATATGTGGCTCTGAGGTAGGGGATTGCTACATAGAGTGTTGGTAGACTTTGAGGGTCCCGTCATTTTTGTGTAGAGGGCGAGCGTGCTACTTGGGGAAGTTGTGACGGTAAATAGGGGGTCTAATAACCCGCGGGTTTCATGCCTGCAATTGAACTTCGAGATATCTAGTGATGGTGTTGTCTATATTCTGTGATTTATGTTGTTTAGTCGAATTGGTTACTACTATATGCTGTATAATTAGGTCCAAGTAGTTCTGAGGTAGTGGTCCTAGGATGAGTGTTTGTACTTATTAGCTTTGACTCGGTTTCTTCTTGCCAGAAATCACAAAGTTAATAATTCTCTGTGTTTTATCATTTGCTTTAGGAATGAAATTTATCACATCTTCCTGACCATTTATTTCTATAGTGGATCGTTAAAAATATTGTCTAGTGACTTGTGAAGAATCTCGTGAATTGCCTCAACTATATTTATTACGCGAGTGTTACTGTAAGCGATGACGAAAGTCGAACTTGATGGTTAGCAAATCGAGTTAAGATTAGAAAAACTCATTAGTTAATCAATTAAAACTAGCTGGTGTATGCTTCTTTGAATATTCCTGTGGTGCAATTGATGCTTGTGTCATCTACTCCCGGGTTCTTATTATAAGACATTTTAATTTGTCATTAATTTTACTTTAGATATTTTTTTAATTAGAAAAATAAAATAAAACATTATACAGATATATTTTCTTATTTGTTGTGTTCTCTTAAGAAATATTTTTAAGATTGTTTTTTTTTTTTTTAATTAGAACACACTAAATGAAACATTGGACAAATCAAAATGTCTTGTAATAAGAATCGGAAGGAGTATTTCAATGCTATTACGCTTTAATCAAATTATGAATTTAAAAGAGTAGAATGAGCAGTTTGGTTGCAGAATTAAGGTTGCGAACTTTACAATTCATGAATTCCCATCAATTAAAAATCAGTCTCCTCCGCCATAAGTAACTTCCCTCCAAAGTAACATTTCTGATCAAGATCCTAGTAAGCAACCCTAAAACTTCCCTCCGCCGTTACATTTCTGATCAGTCCCTCCCCCGTCCTTATGGAATTCAACGGACACCAAGTGGCTAACTGAAGGGTATGGATTTACGCTCAAAAAGAAAAGGAAAAAAAAAATTAGAGATCTGTAAATGCAATTTTTTTAAAAGCAAAATTTTGAAACAAGAACCTAATGGATATGGAATAGAGGTAGGGTAACTCCAGATTTCATTATTAGGGTGTATATATTTTTATATATATACATACTAGTGATGTCTGGTCGCGCAATGCGCGACCCTGGCCCAGTCTATCTGTAGATCTTAGAAATGTTTATATTTGAAAAAAAATAAAATTTTGTATTTGGAGCGATATATTTTAGAAATGTTTGAAGGATTTAGAAATGTTTTATAAGTGTGATCATAGAAATATTTGTATTTCGCAAAAAAAAAAGAAATAAATTGTATTTCGCCATGTATGTTTTAGAAATGTTTTATAAGTGTTACTTATTAATATAAATAGCTTAATCGAATATATGTGTTGAAGTAAATGTTAGATAAAATATAAAAGCATCCTAATAAATTTAAATATTAGTAAGATAATTTATTGATGTTCTCCATTGATCGTGCCAAATCAATACTTAGTTTTGGAGATTTTTAATAGCTTTGTAATAAGCTTCATCCGAAGGGTATACGCTTAAAACAAAATTGACACTTTGTAACAAAAAACCTAATTGATCAATTCAATTTAAAAAACCACTCTAGTTGAATGAAACATAAAGAAAAAAAAAAGTGTCACGTAAAGTGCAAAAGGATATTTAGTAATTTAGTTATGGTTAGACAAAAGGGCAATTTAGTATTTTCTACATGCCACGTGGCAATCATATGAGGTGTTTGAAAGGGAGGTTTTTGTTTCTAATATAGTAAGATATATATGTATATACACTGTATATCTCCCTTTACTTCAATTTCATTGCTCGCGTCGTGATATATGCTTATGTAAAACCTTTTACCATAATGAAAAATTTTGCTATCCCGGATTTTGAGAGGATCGGTTGGCTTTCTGATGATATAACCATCCTTAATCAAGTTCTAAATGTCATGGCAAGAATCCTCCATGGAGATTTCGTAAATATTATTTGAGTCTAGCCAGACCACACTTGAACAAGAAGACGCTTCTGATGCTTGAGTGACACCATTTCCTCCGACATACAACATCAACAACTACTATAACAACAATAATAATAAGGAAATAAATAGTCAATATACTATTAGAGAAACAAATTGAGATAGTAGGGCCGTCACTTAAGTGGATCAACCCGAATAACCGCCCGTACCGAACCCGAATTTGAGTAAACGGTTCGGGTAATGGGTAATTCGGTTAATACGGGTGCACCCGGTAAACCACAGGTACTAAACGGTTCGGATGTGGGTGAGGGAAAAGTTTTTCGGGCACCGCCCGAAACCCAATTTTTTTTAATTAATTATTTTTTTAAAAAAATATAAATATGTATAATAGTCAGTAGGGTTTGACTCATTTCTCTCTTCCTCCTTTTTTTCGGCTGTTGCTGCATGAACACGGCGACGCCTCCTTCTTTACTTCCACCACACCCCGTCAATCCGACCAACGAATCTGTCGTTCCTTCACTTCATTTCGCCGGTCATCTTCCTTAAACAATCCGGCTGACCATCAATCTCCCCCAAACAGACCAAATCAATCTTAAGTTACTTTTAGATCTGGCCCTCCCTCTGTCTCCGATTTTCCTCATTCCAATTTTTGAAACTAAACTCCGGTCACTCCCTCATTCCTCACATGCATCTCCTCTAGTCAACCAAAATACAAGTCAATCAGCAGACTCTAGATCTGGTTTTTCATTCTGATTTTTGAAGGTTGTTGAACACTCTAGTCAATCCCCAAGTCGAAGTCGATACTTGATTTTCTACGCCGAGCTCGCCCTCCTCCGTGTTGCTAAGGTTACCAGCGGTGCCCCCAACAAGCTTTCCAAAATGTATGTTGTTCTGAATCGTTTCCTTTTGTTTCATTTTTCTTGCATTAGCTTGAACTAGATTAGGTCGTGAAGTTACGTTTTGTTGTCACTATTAAGTTCGTGACTTTTCTTCTCTGTAATTTGCGATTGTCATTTGATGATTTAAATGTTTAATTTATCACATTTTGTTTTCATGGACTATTTTGGGCTGCTCTTTGTTCATTTCAACTCTCTGATTGGAAACATCTTACTTGAGCTACCTTGATACTAATGATTGAGTATTATTTGTTACTCTTCCCTCTTTTTTTTGTTACTTCAATAGCTAATTACTGTCCGCGAACACTGTGGTATGGAAAAGGTTGGTCATCCATGATAGGAGTGTTCACGGTCCAGATTGGTCCGGATTGATAGCAATCCGTAACCAAACCGTTCATTACGGTTTGAAAAATTTTCAATCCGTAACCGGACCGAATTGGTGTATAATCTGGACCAATCCAATCCGTTTTTAACGGTTTGGTTTGGGCGGATTGGCGGTTTGGGCTTCTGATTGGACTTTTTCATTTTGAGAAAAAAATTAAACATTTTTTTTTGTTGGATCTTTTTTGAGGACTTTTCCTGAAATTTTTTGGGCTTTTTCAGCCTTTTTTTTTTTGAGACTTTTCTTGGAAAAAAATAAAAATTAGTCCATGGGGGATTTGAACACACGACCTTCAACAAGGTCTAATGTAGAGGAAACAACAACAATGCCAATGGTACAATGCAGCACTTTCGATAAAAATCTCTATCCGACGCTATATATACAAAACAAATATATTATTATATTATAATATACATACGGTCCGGTCCGGATTGACAGACGGTTTGACAATGTCAAACCATAATCCAGACCGGATTGACCGGTTTTCAATTTTTCAATCTGCCGGTTTAAAAATATAACTATAATCCGCGCGTTAATCCGAATCGATGACTGGATTGGGCGGTTCCACCAGTTTGAGCCAAACCGTGAACACCCCTAATCTGTGATATGTATTTTGCTAAAAGTTTTTGCTTGTGGAGAATGGCTTTAAATGCCTCATGGTGGTTGTGATGATAACTGTCAAGTGTTAGCATGATTGTTTAAATACTAGTTGATCTTGTTTTCTACAAAGTGCTTCAGTTTGATCCTTGAGTTCCCTAATTTGCTGATGAATGTTATGTTTTGTACTGATGTGTGATCGTTTCCCTATTTTATGATTGGATTATTCTGATTGCGTGTCTTTTTTGAACTCAGCAAGGTAGTGAGGTTGTCCATCGCCCAGGTCTTGACAGTGATTTCTCAAAAGCAGAAGGCTGCTCTGAGGGAAGCTTACAAGAACACGAAATATTTGCCCCTTGATCTTCTAGTCCTCTTGAAAGCCACCAGAGTCCTCTGGTCTGAAGGTCACGACGACACCACCTAACCGGTAAGGAAATATTTTTGATATGTTTCTGTTCCTCTTTTTTTCTTTTTCTGTTTTGCATGCTCCAAGTTAAAATATTTTTGTCTTCTTTATTTTGGTCTTCTTCAATCATTGAAGCTTTTTGGATTTTCTTTCTCATGTTTCTTCTCTTTTGATAATCTCTGATAAATGATGAAACTGAAATGGTCAAATGGATTTACTTTTCAATTCCCTTTTCTTTCCATTTATTTTCAGCCGATCTATGTGCTTGACTGAGTGCTTGTAACTTGTTGTTGTTGGTTGTTGGCTATGGCAGACTGTATCACATTATTCATTTTAAGTTTTTCAACATGTCCACCAAATTAAGCTACAAAGGTGCGCTCTCATTTTATCAATATATCTTATAATTGGAGAATATTGTTTGAGTTTTGGTAGTCCTTTCAATGTGCTTCTCACATGTAATATTTGTTTAATTTTGTAACGTTTTTTTTTTTACTTTTTTTTACATTAAAGAAGTAGATATTTACTACTTGACTTAATGAAAGT